AGGCTGTACCAATATCCAGAATGAAAAAGGGGATAACATTACAGACCCTACATACATTAAAAGCAATAAAATAATATTGAGAGCAGATTTGAATGTTTGAATATTGATATGGTTTGGCTCTGTGTGTAACCCCCCTGCCCCCTGCAAATCTCACCTTGAATTTTGTAATCTCCATGATGTGTCAAGAGTGGGACCAGGTGGAGTTAATTGAATCATGGGGGCAGTTTCCCCCATTCTCTTCTCATAATAATAAGTGAGTCTCATGAGATCTGATCGTTTTATAAGCCTCTGGCATTTCCCCTGCTTGCACTTCTCCTTCCCGCTGCCTTGTGAAGAAGGTACCTTACTTCCCCTTTGCCTTCTGCTATGAGTGCAGATTTCCTGAGGCCTCCCCAGCCATGCTGAACTGTGAGTCAATTAAACCTCTTTCCCTAGTAAATTACCCAGTCTTGGGCATGTCTTTATTAGCAGTGTGAGAATGGACTAATACAAATATCATGAATAAATTTCACAACATAGATTAAATGTGCAGATTCCTTGAAAGACACAAATAAAAAAATGACCTGAGAAGAAAACTTGAATATATCTGTATCAATTAAAGAAGCTGAAATTGTAGTTAGAAACCTTTTGACCATAATAATTCTAGGCCCCTTATTGTGAATTCTATCAAACATTTAAAGCAGAAGTAAGGCCAATTCTACATAAGCTCTTTTAGACAATAAAGAAAGAAGGAACATGTTTTATGTAATTATTACCTTAATGTTAAAACCAGACAGAGACCCTACAAGGAGAGAAAACTGCAGTTACTCATGAACGTAGATGCAAAAATACTTTATAAAAGTTAGCAATTTGTATTCAGTAATATATAAAAGTGACAATTCATTATGTTCAAATGGGGGTTATTTTAAGAATATAAGATTGCTTTAACATCTGAAAGTCAATTAGTATAATTAACATAGAGAAACCATTTGAGCATTTCAATAGATGCAGAAAAATAATTTGATAAAATTGACCATTCATGATAAAAAAAAAATAGAGACATAGCTAACTATAACTAAGAGGTATTTTCCCATTTTGATTAAGGGCATGTACAGAAAATCTGCTAATATTATACAAAATGGTGACAGTCTCAGTGCTTTTTATGAAGATCAGGAAAATATATGCTTTATCTCACTACTTCCCTTCAGCTTTGTACACCAGGTCCTTACCAGTGTTTTAAAACAAGAAAAAGGAAAAAGAAAGAAAAGGCATACAGATTGGGAAGAAAAATATATAATGGCTTTCCTTGTAGATTAAGTGTATAGATATAGATAGATAGTTTGGCTGAAAATAGATGAAAAAGGTGTACCATGCAAGTAGTAAGCTTTAAGGAGACTAGAATGACTGTATTATTATTATACATACAGTGCTCCAACCAGTTTAGAAAACTGTTCTGTAGTTTCTTAAAAAGTTAAAAATATATCTACCATGTGACCTAGCTGTTTCATTCCTACCTAGTATTTAACCAACAGAAACTAAAGCAAATGTGTGTACAAAGATTTGCACACATCTGTTCAAAGTGACTTTATTTGTAATAGCCAAAAACTAGAAACAGATATTCATCATGAAGTGATGGCTATTTCCATCCATGTTGTGGTATATCATAGAATAGAATGCTCCTATGCAGATGAATCTCTAAATAATTAAGCAGAGTGACAGACAGCACGTGAAGAAAAATACATACTGTATGCTTCCATTATATAAATTCTAGAAATTCAAACCAATCTGTAGGGACATAAAGTTGATCAGTGGTTATACAGGCAGGATGGGTTCCTGTGTTGGAATTCTAGAGGAGGATTACAGTGTGGCAGAAGAAATATTTTGGAAGTGATAGATATGTTCACTATCTTTACTGTCATGATAGTTTGATAAGTACATACATATGTCACAATTAGCGAAGTATATACTTTATGTGTATTTTACATGTCAATTGTATATAATAAAATGCTTTAAAAGGAAAATGAAAAGATGCATTGGTGGTATAATGGTGAGCCTCGCTGCCTCATAGTTATCAGTAAAACAGTTTAAAATAGTTATATGATTACATAATTGGCATTTCAGTAGAAACACAGAAAACTTTGGACAAATAGCTTTTTTTAACATACATGGATATATCCATGTATGTTAATTATGATCAAAATTATAAATGTGCGGATATTCACATTGAAAACATGAAACTTAATTTTTAAATAACTTTATTGATATAATATGCATACCATAAATTTGCCTAATAAAGTATACAGTTTAGTGGTTTGTAGTAGTTTCAGGGCAACATCACCATAATCTAATTTTGAATCATTTTTATTACCCCTAAAAGTTAACCTTTTAAATTATTAGGAGTCATTTCCCATCCCCTTTTCTGCTTTTCATTTACTGGAAGTCCTAGGCAATCACTAAGCACTTTCTTTCTTTACAGATATGCCTATCCTTTATATTGTATTAATGTTGAAGGAGATCATGTACTATGTGGTCTTTTGTGATTGTTTTTTTAATTCATTTTTGAGGTTCGTCCATGTTGTAGTATGTATTGGTTTTGCTTTCCTCTTTATTGCTAAATAATTTTCCATTTTATGGTTATACCACATTTTGATAACCAGTTCACCAATATTTTCCACTTTTTAGCTAGTAAGAATTACATTGCTCTAAATATTTGTGTACAAGTTTTTGTGTGGACATATGTTTTCATTTTTCTCGAGTGTATATATCTAGGAGTGGAATACTTGGGTTTGCCAAAATATTTTCAAATGTGGCTGCATCATTTTATGTTCTCACCAGCATTGCATGTGGGTTTAATTTCTCCATATTCTCACCAGGACTTGTTATCTTCATTTTTTATTATAACCATTCTAGTTGGTATCAAGTAGTATTTCATTGCAGTTTTGTTTGCATTCCCCTGCTAGCTAATGATAATGAATATCTTTTCATGTACTTCTTATTGTTTCATATATTTTGGATTATTCAAACTGGATTTTTAAAAATCAGTCTTGAGCCAGATGCCGTGGCACACACCCATAGTCCCAGCTACTCAGGAGGTTGAGGCAGGAGGATCATTTGAGCCTAGGTGTTTGAGGCCAGGCTGGGCAACATAGCAAGACTGTCTCTTAAAAAAAAACATCAATTTTTATATTGCTTACAAGAGACATACCTAAAATATTATACAAAGTGACAGAGTGGTTTAAAGTAAAAACATTGAGAAAGATAAACCAGGCATATAGAAGCCAAAAGAAAACTGTTATAGCTATATTACTGCTGTGTAAAATAGATACTGTTTGAAAGATTTTTAATTCATACATTGGCATTTTTTCTGAAAAAACTTCATAGAAAATACAAGTCACACAGAATACATTTATAAGAAAATAAAAGTTATATAAAATATATATTATGCCACAGAGAGCATCCAGTGAAAAGACTTTTATTGATTGATAGCTTCCAGGAATTTTTGAAATTAAGGTGATTTGAAACTGGCCTAGATTTTCCTTCTCTTGATCATTTAGAAATGAGCAAAGTTTTTTATTGTTTTAACTTCTGAAATATCAGTATGTTTTCATAGGATTTTTTGAATTGAGGTACCTGGCTTTTTTTCCATAAATACAGTCTATATTTACTCAGTATTTGTTTGCTTTCTGGAAATAATGCTCTCTTTCTGTGACAGAATATTTTCCCCATGTTGTTATATCCCTGTCAAGTGAAAGCTCAGTATCCAAAAGTAAAACAAAATTTTTTCAAATCAGAAAGCTAAACATATCTCTTCTTCCCTAGTCCAAACTTGCATGCTTGAAGTTGACTCATGCATTTGCCTCCTCAAGTGATTGAAGTGTGAGAAGTTTATTCTTCGAGAATGCTGAGAGCTTCTTGGGTAGATAGGGCTGTAAGTCATGTAGATTCAAACTTAGAATTATCATGAAAATATTTACTGAGAAGATTGAGACATGATCTTGAAGCACATTTTGCTCAGTAAGATCAGATCTCTTTAGCCTTATTACCCTTTGGTCTTAAAGTTTAAAAAGACTGTGTTTACTGTATTAATTATTACACTTGATCTTAGCCAAAAGGCCGAGAAGCAATTACTGTGTTAATTATTATATGGTTTGAATGAGACAAAAGTGACTTGGCTTATATTGATTGTACTAATAAGGCTTTGAGAACTCTTATGGCATTATGTGGCATTTAACTCTTACGGCATTTAAGAAGAAAGGTGATGTAGAAAGATAAATTTTTAAAAATTAATGCTTTTTAGGCCGGGCGCGGTGGCTCACGCTTATAATCCCAGCACTTTGGGAGGCTGAGGCGGGTGGATCACAAAGTCAAGAGATCGAGACCATCCTGGTCAACAAGGTGAAACCCCGTCTCTACTAAAAATGCAAAAATTAGCTGGACATGGTGGCACGTGCCTGTAATCCCAGCTATTCAGGAGGCTGAGGCAGGAGAATTGCTTGAACCCAGGAGGCAGAGGTTGCGGTGAGCCGAGATCGTGCCATTGCACTCCAGCCTGGGTAACAAGAGTGAAACTCCGTCTCAAAAAAAAAAAAAAAAAAAAAAAAAAATTTAATGCTTTTTAAAATTAAAGATGTTTTTAGGGTTGTTGCATACAACAGTGAAATCTTACATTTTTTCCAAGGCTTCCTTATAGTTTTAGAGCATAAACAACTAAGTTAGTGATATTTTTTGAAATTTTAATTTGTGACACCTGTTTTTAAGTATTTCTGTGGATACAAAACTGAGAAATGTATAGTTCATACTAGATATCCTGACAGAATTTTCCTGAGTTGAACACAAATACTAATCATTTTTTTCATGAAGCACCAAAAACTTTAGATTCTTTATGTACTATGTGTATTTATATCTGATAAAATGTTTAGATATTACTCAATATACACTTAAAATATTTTGTATTTTTTCATAATTTGTTAATATTTTTATCATTATTCAATGCTTTGTATAATTTATTCTCTTTTGTCCAGGTTGAAGATTGTAAAAATTTCTTTTAAGTGCAAACAGTTTTTTATTCAACTTAGAAAAGAATTGGTGAGTACTGATTGAATAATTATTGATATAAATGAAGCCTTTTAAGAAATACCCATTCATGACAGAACTTTTCTGTTAGTACAAGTGAAAGTGCAATTAATACTATGGATAACTGGCTGCAGAGGTAATGAATTCACTTTTTATAACAAAATGTACTTGTTTTTCCAATGTGTATGGGGTTCTCATTTAAAGTTCTCTTAGATATTCCTCTTGCTGTTTCTCAAACTTAGAAACTGATTTCTCACACATGATGGTCATTGGAAACCTCAAGGTCCATTTATGGAGGACAGCAAATGAGCATTTCATATGTCCCTTTTCCCCTACTAAATCTGTAGTACTTCCTTTCATATATGAGCTCATTTCATTTTAGGGGAACTGAGTGTTACAAATTTATGAACTTAATAACATTTCCTCCCTTTGTTGGAGTGGTAATGCTTTATATATTAAAAACAACATTGAGTTGTCATGGAAAGTACAGTGTTGAAAACAATTTCATCTTGTAGATGATTTTATCGATTTCATTAAATCAAACTAACCTAATCATGTGATTTACATTATTTCTTAGAAATCTTGGCAAATTAATGCATATTTCAAGATGGTTGTGTGTGTATATACATGTAAAATGTATTTGAAACCTGAAAAATGTCTTTAGGGCTGTCCACAGTGGTTCAATCCTGTAATCCTAGCACTTTGAGAGGCTGAGGTGGGAGGATCCCTTGAGGCCAGGAGTTCAAGACCAGCCTTGGCAACTTAGTGAGACACTGCCTCTACCAAAAAAAGAAAATTAGCCAGGCGTGATTATGTGTGCTTCTAGTCCCAGCTGCTCAGGAGACCGAGGTGGAAAGATCTCTAGAGTCCAGAAAACCAAGGCTGCAATGAGTTAGGATCACACCACTGTACTCCAGCCTGGATGACATAGGGAGGCCCAAAAAAAAAAAAAAAAAAAGGCTTTGGGTACAGTGATGCCTCCTGCCTGTTATCCCAGCTACTTGGAAGGCTGAGGTGGGAGGATAGGTTGAGCCCAGGAGTTCAAGGCTACAATGAGCTTTGACCATACCACTGTACTTTTAGCCTGGGCAACAGAACAGAACACTGCTGCCTCTTGAAAAAAAAAAAAAGTATTTGAATCAGCTCTGTTGTGTCAGAGGATATTGAACTACTAAGTGATTATAAACTATAGTTTATTATGTTCATAAAATACAGAGTTTTTTTCAAGAGAATTTTTATTGAAATAAAACATAATACTGAAAATGTGCATATTTTAAGTACACAGTTTGATGAAGTGAACATATCCGTATATATAGAATATGTACCTCCTTCTAATATGTAGAACATTACCAGCACCCCAGATACTTTTAATGTTGCTGCTGGAGCTGCTGTCCACTTCCAGTCATTAAACCTCCTGGAAGGTAACCATTACTCTTATTTTTATGACCATGGATTAGTTCACTTATATTTGAAATTTTAAAAATGAAATTATACAGTTATTGTCTTTATTGTCTGCCTTCTTTCCCTTAACACTTTTTTGTGAGATTCATCCATGTTGTTGCATGTAATATTAGTTCATTCCATTTATATATTCTGAATGACTATACCATAATTTATTCATTTATTCTGCTGTTAGTGGACATCTCTGTCATTTCCAGGTTGGGGATATGACGACAAGTGCCGATAATGAAAATTCTTTTACCTGTTTTAAATTTTAGATGATTAAAATATAATATTGTTATCTGGAAACTATATGACAAATATTTTACTTTAAGTAATCATAGATGGCACTGTAGAAGTCAACTTTTTAAATTTAACTTATATCCCATTATAATACTAATGTTACTAATATTTATAATAATAGTTATAATATCTAGCATTTATTCAGAACTTACTGTGTGTCTGGTAGATCATTTTTGTAGCATTTAATCCTTACACTCATTTTCTGAAGTAGTGTACCAGTTAAAAATATATTCACCAATAAGTGATGACAGCAGCAAAATCTGACAATTGATTAAAGAAAATGTATTAGGGATCTTTTTGTGATTCAAAAGCATGATGATTATATTTTCATACTCTTGGGTGAGATATACCTTCCTCAAACTTTCTTACAGCATGGGCACATTACAGCCTGTCTGATGGGAGAAAAGAAAGTAAAGGCAGTATACAGGCCAGGCATGGTGGCTCACACCTGTAATCCCAACATTTTGGGAGGCTCAGATGGGTGAATTGCTTGAGGCTAGGAGTTCAAGACCAGCCTGGTTCACATGGTACAACCCCATCTCTACTAAAATACAAAAAGATAGCTGGATGTAGCGGCACACACCTGTATTTCCCGCTGCTTGGGAGCCTAAGGGACGAGAATCACTTAAACCAGGAAGTGGAGGTTGCAATGAGCCAATATCGCACCCCTGCACTCCAGCCTGGTCAAGAGAGCGAGACTCTGTCTCAGAAAAAAAAGAAAAAAAAAAAAAAAAACAGTATACAGGCATACTCTTCAGAAGGTGGCCTTGTTACTGTTTCCTCTCTAAAACATCTCTTTGTTTTTAAATACCCAAACTTCAGATAATGTACTTATCTCTCAGTACAACATTTTGTATGTTGTTTACAAATTGGGCAGAAAAAATTTTTGTTGCATTTCACATACGATTGATAGAATATAGAAATGACTTACCGACTTTTTGAAAAGTATACAAGTGTCAAAATGGATGAATATATATATGCATCTTAGATGCTGACAGTGAGAACTATTAGTGTATTGTAGTGGCTGAGACATTTTTGTTATTTTGCATAATGTTTATGGCATATGGTAAAACATAAACTTTATATGTTAGTGCAAACAAAACAACTGTTAATCATATTTAAGACTTAATTTTCTGGTAATCAAGAAGTGATGTTTTAAGCATATTCCCTTCTAATATGATAATGTAATACTTTATACGTGGGCATTTTACTGTGGATTAGTCACAGGAAATACCTTAATGAACTGATGGGTAAGGATTTCTTTAACAAGGCATAGAAACCTTTATAACAAAAGATTGATGATTTGGACTGTTAAAATTAACTCTGTTCATCAAAAGATACCACTAAGACAGTGAAATTTCTTAAACATTATATAATACACACAAAATCCTTGGTTGTACATGCATCCTAATAGAAATACATGCTAGCGAATTGAACAGACATTTCACAAATAAGGATATCCACATGGCCATTAACATTGAACCTCGATAATCATAAGGAGGTTCAAATCATAATAAAATGTGCTACCTCTGCATACACAACAGAATAGTAAAGGGAAAGAGATTGATAAACCAGTAGCTGGTGAATATATGGCACATATGCTACCGGTGGGAGGGAGTGTTTATAGATCTACCCATTTTGGAAAAGTGTTGGGCATTATCTACCAAAGCTGAGCATATGTGTACATCATATGACCCAACAACAAAAATGTGCATGTATGTACACCAGATAACATACAGGAATATGCCTGGCTGTATTCTTCTTATATCCCCAAACTAGAAATGTCAAATGTCTATCAACAGTAAAATGGATAAGTTAACTGTTAAATTCACAGAGTACTATGGAAATGAGTGAATTACACTTCATAAACTTTGAATTTATATTAGAAACGTAATGCTGGACAAAAGCCAGACCTAAAGACAACATGTGTGTGATTCCATGTTTGTACAATAAAGTTCAAAAACAAGCATGATTGTACTGTGGTGATAAAGTCAAAAGAGTGATTACCTTTGGGAAAGTAATCTGGTAGAAAGGGGAGACAATACTTCTGTGGTGGTGGTAATGACCATTTCTTGAACTGGATAAAGGTTAAATGATTGTATTTATTGTGTGAAAATCAGAGCTGTGGACATTGCTATGTATGGTTTACTTTAATGAAATTATTTAGAAATTTGTACCAGTTTTCAAGAAAATGGAAAATTATTTTAGCGCTAATTTTAAAATTTGAATTCTGTAATAGTGTTCAGCTTGCTGAATGTTCTTATTTATTTATAATCTAGACAGATACTTTAAATTAGGAATATTGTTAAAGTTGCAATGATATATTTTAACATTTAATTTATGACCTTGAATTATATTTTCAAAGAGTCATAGCTAATAAATGTTGAAAACAGATACATATTAAAAGTTTGAACTCATTTCTAACTATGATCTAAGGTAAAACTTTCTAAGAGTTGTGATATGAATGAACAAGGCCAGCGTGGGGGCTCACACCTGTAATCCCAGTACTTTGTGAGGCCAAAGCAGGTGGATCACCTGAGGTCAGGAGTTCAAGACCAGCTTGGCCACCATGGTGAAACCTCAGTTCTACTAAACATATAAAAAATTAGCTGGGCCTGGTGGCGCATGCCTTTAATTCTTTCTGTTTGGGAGGCTGTAGCACAAGAATTGCTTGAACTTGGGAGATGGAGGTTGCAGTGAGCCGAGATCGCACCACTGCACTTCAGCGGGGGTGACAGAGTGAGACTCTGTCTCAGAAAAAAAAAAATGACTGAACAATGTCCAGATTTTGTAGACTTTTCCGTATACTTCATTGCCTTTTTATTGGATAAGCAAAAGAGATCCTAGATAAAAGATCCTATAGATTCTATCTATATCATTAACAAGTTCATGTTTGCAAGGCTAGAATAATTTATCTGTCAAAAGTAAATTAAATGGAGCATTAGATCCTGACATTTTCCTGGTATTCTCTGCATTTTGTCATTTATTACAGCATGAATCTAGAGAAACATTATTGGGATTTAATATGGTGAATTACAGAGCATGTAAAAATTTGTGGAAAGCATGTGTAGAACATCACACATTCTTCCGTTTGGACAGACCACTTCCACCTCAAAAGAATTTTTTTGCACATTATTTTACATTAGGTTCAAAATTCCGGTACTGGTAAGTATTACTTCTGTGTTAAGGCTTTATTGTTGGATTTTTTTTCCTTTCTTTAAAATAAAGATCCAGTTTATGGTACCATAGAGCCTTTGTTATACAAACTTACTGAGTCAAAATCCCCATGGATTACAGCCTCTGTATCTGTATCATTAAAAAGTTCTATAGGATCTTGTGTTATACTACAGACTTGAGAAACTAATTTCATTTTCTGTATTGCCTGGTCATTGTTTTCTGGAGTAAATTAACTACATTTACTTGTTTACAATCAAGACGGGTGACTTAATTTATATTGTGTTTTTATTAGATATTTACTTGAAAACTTTTTTTTCCCTTAATTTAATTTTTTTTAAAATAAGACGAGGTTTCACCATGTTGGTCAGGCTGGTCTTGAACTCCCGGACTCAGGTGATCCTCCCGCCTTGGCCTCCAAAGTGCTTGGATTTCAGGTGTGAGCCACCACGCCTGGCCAAAACTTTTCTTTGTTCTAAGACAACCAAGATAGCTTCTGCATAAAACTGTGTAATTATTGGTTTTTTAATTTACAATTTAGCATATTTTTGAGTTGTCAAACCTTTTATTTTAAAGAGTTTAAAACAGTCACTAGGCAAAAATCAGATTTAGTCATTGAACATTAACCCCAGATTTCATTTCCTAAAATTGTTTTATTCTTGGTAGCTTTTATTTTTTCCTGAAGGCAACAAATCTTTAGGGAATAATTAAATCTGAAGAAGCTCTGATTAGTTTTACCTATGGAATTCTGAAAAGGCCCATGAAAGCTAGTTTTTAAGTGGAACCTAGTAAGAATCAGGTAGAAAGTTATTCATTGTCTTTTAGTAAAGCAGATGTGATTCATTGTTTGTTTATGCTTCACAAAATAAGATTTTTCACCTTTGATAAATAAAACCCTTGGCTGGGCATCGTGGCTTACACCTGTAATCCAGAGGCTGAGGCAGGCAGATCACTTGAAGTCAGGAGTTCAAGACCAGCCTGGCCAACATGGCAAAACCCTGTCTCTACCAAAAAAAAAAAAAAAAAAAATTAGCCAGGCCTGGTGACAGGTGCCTGTAATCCCAGCTACTCAGGAGGCTGAGGCATGAGAATCACTTGAACCCAGGAGGTGAAGGTTGCAGTGAGCTGAAATCGCACCATTGCACTCCAGCATGGGCAACAGAATGAGACTCCATCGCAGAAATAAAAAGAAAATAAAAAACCCTTGACCATTGTGTGTTAAGATTAATTTATGTTATATGTTCATGAGAAAATGTTTAGATAAGTCCCAGAAAAGATTTAACTGTAAACCTAAACATTTATAATTGCCTAATTTGTAATCTCAGTAAAAATAACAATATGAAGCTTAGTACAGGATATGTCACTTAAAATATGTGACTCCAACCCCAGAAAAATTAGTAAAAGTAGCTCAAAAGTTAAGTAGTAACAATTAAACAGTGTTAAGACATTTTTAACCAAACAGAAGGCACAGGGAATTTCCTAAGTGGTTTGCTATCATGTTTAACTCCTTTTTTCTGCCTTCATAAAAGCAATTTTGAGCAAAGTAAGGTGATAGTACTCATAAATTTAAAAGTAAATAGGTGGAAGGAGAGAGTATCAGATCTATAATGAAAGTCTAGGAAAAAGCAAAGAGCCTTACCTACTGTTAATAAACCTTAGCAAGAAAAGAAGAAATCTCCAGGGCTTAATGTGAAATGAGAACAGTACAACCCCTAAAGATAGTCCTTCAGTGAATTTAATTTCTAATTGATTACCAGGGTAGTTATACAGGGACTACTCTTACCATCTGTTCGAATTCTTTTTTCTCCCCTTTGTCCTTGCAAATGTGATGTAAACACACATTGTTTCATTTAGGTACAAAGAAATGAATAGGAAGCAGCAATCAGTCTTCAACTATAATTCAAGCAAGTCTCAGATAAGATGAGAAAAAAAATCAAGGAAGTTACCCAAACCATACCAAAGCAAACATAAAATTTACATATGGTGACTTCAAATACAAAAGACAGTTAAAAAAAAAAAAAGCCCTGTTTTGGGAGGCAATCATCACTGAAACAGAAGGAAATTTGTACCATAAATATTAATAAAAGCGAGTTCAAGAACAATCTGATATTTGAAAAAAAAGATCTGGCAGGGAAGGGAGCAACACTGGCCATTCAGAAGGCTGTTACTGCCCTTGGGGGAAGATTGGCCAAGTATTGACAAATTTTACCTGTCTTCAACAGAACTGAGATTGAAGATTATTAAATGGAAGCTGTACATTTTAGAAAGTTGAACAGTTATTTTAACAGCTTATTGAAGTATAACTGACATGTAAGAAATGATCATATTCAAAGTTTAAAATCTGATGTTAGTATGATAAATTACTTTGATTGCATTTCAAGTGTTAAGCCAACCAACCCTACATTCCTAGGATAAACCCCACCTGGCCATGATATCCTTTATATATATTGTTTGATTTACTTTGCTAAATTTTGTTTAGGATCTTTGCATATGTGTTTATGAGGGATAGATATATCTCTGTAGTTTTCTTTCTTATGATAACATTTTCAGATTTTATTGTGTCAGGGTCAAATTGGCCTCATTGAATGTGTTGAGAAAAGTTCCATTTTCTGGAACAGGCTGCATAGTAATAATATGATTTCCTTTTTAAATGTTTGATAGAATATGTAAATTAATTCATCTGGGCAGGAGTCTTATTTATAGAAAGGTTTTGAACACATTCAAATTTTTTAATAGATAAGGCAATTAAGGTTTTGTCTTTCTTCCTGAGCAAGATTTGGTAGTTTGTGTCTGTCAGCAAATTTATCCATTTCTTCTAGGTTGAATTTATTGACATAGAGTTTATGTTTCCCATTATCTTTTTAATAGCTCCAGAATATGTAGTAATGTTGCTTCTCTCATTCTTGATACTGATAACTTGTATCTTCTTTGATTAATCCGCTAGTGGTTTATCAGTTTAAATTAAATATTTTAAAATAATGTAGATCAGGCATAGTGGCCTGTAATCTTAGTGCTTTGGGAGACCAAGGTGGGAGGATTGTTTGAGGCCAGGGTTCAAGTCCAGTCTGGGCAATATAGGGAGACCCTTGTCTCTACCAAAAGTATAAAAATAAGCTGGGCTTTTCGGCACACACCTATAGTCCTAACTACTCAGGAGGCTCAGGCAAGAAGATCACTTGGGGCCAGGAGTTCAAGGTAACAGGATTATGATCAGGCCACTGCACTCCAGCCCAGGTGACAGAGCAAGACCCTGTCTCTAAACAACAACAAACAACTTGTATGCCAAATAAAACTTTTCTTCAGGCTTATGTTACTTGTGGGCCATCCTTTGTCAACCAAGTCCTAAAGACAAAAACATGACCAAAAAATATTAAACATGGTCACATTGCCATTCAAGTCCAAAGTCAACAGATAGACATTACTCAGTATGCAAAAACTCAAAGAGAATAGGACATCTCCAGGACCTTCCTGAAAACATTTATTTAGTAGCAAAAATTCAGCAAACCAGGAGATAAATCAAAATATCCGAAGAAGAATCCTGATTAAAAACCCTGAAAATGAAGGTTAAATCCTCACTATAAGAACTAATTCTTGACAACTGTGAGAATTATAATTGCTGAATAAAATTAAAATGGTATAAACTTTACCAAAGCAGAATAAATAATACAACTTTAAAAAATGAAGCAAAGGACTAGTGGGAGGAAATATTTGAATCCTTAAAGTTTGAACCAATTTTAGGTGTTAATACACCACTTCTTAAGGTTTTCTTAATCTTTTTTCCTTTTTTTCTAAATCTTTTAGTTTAATGGAAACCAGTTTGATTTTCTTCATTAAAAGTGGCATATATGTCATAATTATATTTTAATAAAATTATCTGTGTATGTCTAGCCATTTTAATGTTTAGAATGATTTCTACCTGCTCATAATGGTGGTGATTTCTTTATGGGTACGACTGTGGCTAAAAACTTTTTTTTTTGTTCTTATTATGTTTTTCTATATTGCTTGAATAACTTATAATAAGCATATATATAAACAATACTTTCTTACTGCTCAAAAGATAAGTCTCTTATTGTCAAAGATTAGTGTTCTGAAACTGGAGCAGTTTTTCATTTTGTTGTAGTGAGAATACTAAACTCCTAATGTCTGTATTATGGACAATATGAAATATAAGCCTTTCTTGCATTAATTTTTTTTAATTGTTTATTATGAAATTTAAGTTGTTATTCCAACCTTTTGAGTAATGGTGTCCCATTTGAATCTTCTTCACTGGAAAATAATCTATCAGTCAGAGTTCAGTCAGGGAAAGAGAAAGCCCTTTTGATAATTCAAACAAAAGCAGTTTAATTGAAGAAATTAGTTACATGGGTGTTGGAAATGCTGAGAAAACAAAAGAGAGTAAACAGGTTATGGCGAAATAAGCAGGAAGAATGGGTAATGCCTAAAAATCAGATGCATGGGTCACTCCTGGGCTGGAGTCTACAAACCAACACCTGCTACTATACTGTTAGAGCCACTGTAGGAAAACTTTGTCGTTCCCTGACTGAACTCTGATTGATACATTAATTTTCTAGTGAAGAAAAGTCAGTCTATATCTTCCAGAGAAGTACGGCTTTAATCAAGGATGGGACCATCTACAGGATGCTCTTTCTTACTATGCCCTATCCCCATGACTATTAAAGCAGCTGCCAGCTGCCAACAGCTACCATTTTCCTGCTCTGCCTTTCTCCGCTTTCTGATCTTCCACCAACACCTTCTAAAAGCAGAACCTAAGGCAAAATAATCTAGAAAATGGAGTTTATTATAGTCCCTGCAAAACACAGGGCACAGGACAGGATTGGGCCTATGACAGCTTGCCCATTAAAATTGGATATACATAATCACATATATTTATAGTTTTTAAAAATTAAGCTTTGTATTTATAGTCCTTAAGAACTTTAAAACATATCCAAAGGACTTTTTAATCATCAAAATGATTAGACATCTTGTAAATGAGGTAGGAATGGGAGCATGAAAAATATTACCTGGACACAGTACCATCCCTAATGAGTATGCACTAAATAAACTTTTTTTCCCTTCATAATGAGCAGTAGTGGAGAATACTGGCACTATTGTCATACTTAAAATGTTGAAATACTCTTTTTTGACTGACAGATGGTACTGGGACTATCAGATCTATTACTTTCTCCACCAGTCTCTTTATGCACATATCCTTATCTCTGTTCCAAAGTATCCAAAGGATTAACATCATTATTCTAATGTGGAAATACAAAACAGTGATGAACTTTAATTTATTACCTCCCTCTTAGAGGAAATATTTTCTTAGGAAATTTCAATTTGAAGTTTAAAAATCATGGTAATATTTCTCATTTTTCCATTAAAACCTCATAAAAGTGCCATTCAGTTTATTGGTATTTATCCATGGAAAATGGTCTTAAAATTGCTAGCTTAACTGTGGAAACTGGCATTTGGCTGTTTTTATATGCATTAGATATCTGTATTTGTAAATTGTTACATTTGATATACCACAAGTTTATGTTCATTCACAATTAAGTAGTGAGAACATCTCAAATAAATTCTCTGAGAACTTTTATTAACAAATTTCATCTGAACACACTGGTGTACCTCAGAGGAAGATCAGTCTCTATAAACAATTTCCCTTAGATAAATCAGCTTCAAAACAAATCTAGTGCCAACCCCCACCGTTTTTCTGCTTAGTTCCTTCCTCTAAACAAAAATCTGGAGCTGTTTTGTGTCTGGACATGGAGGGAGTTGAACACATCTGTCATCATTAATGGGAGAAATGTGACTAAGCTTCATTCATCCAGGTAGAATTGGAATGTCAGTCCAGTCTTTTCATTATCTGCTTCCTTTTCTCTGCTAGGAATGTCTTGTCTCTTAGGAAATTATACTATAATCATGTTATGTGTTGTCATTTTATCTTACAGTTCTGTTAAAGACTTTATTGTTGTGCATATTTATATATTTCAGTGGGAGAACTGAAGTCCAGTCAGTTCAGTATGGCAAAGAAAAGGCAAATAAAGACAGGGTATTTGCAAGGTAAGCCAATTCTGTTTCATTGTCTGAATTTTTTTAAAAAGATGGATTGAGTTTAAAAAGTTTTTCTAGGGCCGGGCACAGTGGCTCACGCCTGTAATCCCAGCACTTTGGGAGGCCGAGGTGGGTGGATCACGAGGTCAAGAGATCGAGACCATCCTGGTCAACATGGTGAAACCCCGTCTCTACTAAAAATACAAAAAATCAGCTGGGCATGGTGGCACGTGCCTGTAATCCCAGCTACTCAGGAGGCTGAGGCAGGAGAATTGCCTGAACCCAGGAGGCGGAGGTTGCGATGAGCCGAGATGGCGCCATTGCACTCCAGCCTGGGTAACAAGAGCAAAACTCCATCTCAAAAAAAAAAAAAAAATTCTTTTTCTAAATATTTTTTCCAAAGTTTTTCTAAATATTTCAAATTTTTGATTACAGAATTATCACAATTCTTTACAATAAATTATGTTGAGGAAATGATAAAGTAGCTTGTCTAGTTTATTTGTTCATTTTTTATATGAGCATTAATAGTGTGCCAGGCATTGCAGTTCTGAATAGACTGATCAGATATTATGTTATTAATACAATATTTTGTTTGAGGTTATTCTCCTTTTTTAAAACTTTTGAGAAATAAAATGACTTATTTCATGTTATCAAGCCATTTCGTTTCCATATTTATTTAAATTATATTGTTAAGAGATAAGTTGCTTTATTTTTGTTTACCATTTATTGTCTTTATTTCTTTGGGGTCTATTATAGCCTTTTTTTCTTTTTCTTTTTCTTTTTTTAGTCTTTGCTCTGTCTCCCAGGCTGGAGTGCAATGGCACAATCCTGGCTCACTGCAACCTCTGCCTCTCTGCCTCTTGGGTTCAAGCAATTCTCCTGCCTCAGCTTCCATGGTATATGGGATTACATGCGCATGCCACCATGACTGTCTAATATTTTTGTGTTTTTAGTAGAGATGGGGTTTTACCATGTGAGCCAGACTGGTCTCTTGACCTCAGGTGATCCTCCCACCTCGGCCTCCCAAAGTGCTGGGATTACAGGCATGAACTACCAGGCCTGACCTAGCTAATTTGCTTTTTAACAAGTGAAATGACATGATAAGATTTATGTTGTAGAAAACAGTATTATAAGCAAGGATAGGGAATGAATTAGAAAGCAAAGCCTCAGTACCCAGAGACCAATTATAAGGTAATTGCAGTGATCCAAGTGAAAATAATAAAAGCCTGAACAAAAACATTGGTAAGAGAATGGAAAATAGGGAACAAATTTAAGGAAAGTTTTGTAAGCAAAACTAGCAGAAATTGATGACCAACTGGATACAGGTGTGTTAAGAGACAGGCCTTTTTTTTTTTTTTTTTTTTTTTTTTTCTCAGTGAAAATGACTTTGAGAAGCTAAGTCCTTTAATTAGTTATGTGCTTGGTATCTACTGCTATTAGTCTTGAGTTTTAATAAAGAAAACTAGAGAAGTTTGCTTTTGATTTCACTTTGTTTAAATTTTGTTCTTCTTTATCTAAAAGTTCTTTCTGCTGTGTGTTTCCAGAGTAAAGGGAGTTTTGTATTGGTTTTTTTCTTCCTCTTTCCAAACGTGGAAATTGCTTTTTTCCCCTGGTAATATAAGTGATAGCTCATTGTGTTTAAAAACTCCAACAGTATCAAAGAACATAAAGAAAATTTATCATCCCAAGACAACTGTTTTAAAAAATGTTGGTACTCAATTATTCAGAATTTTTCTATGCATATACTTATAGAGACATTTATATATATGTGTATATATTTGTTTCAAAATTGTTTTATACTATTTGTTGTTTGCGTTTATCATTTAACATATCATGCACATTTTCTTTGGTGTTCAAAAATCTAGTCATTTATAATAGCAGTGAATCTTTTGACAGTTAAATCCTTTGATTGGCCAGGCGCGGTGGCTCACGCCTATAATCCCAGCACTTTGGGAGGCTGAGGCGGGTGGATCACAAAGTCAAGAGATCGAGACCATCCTGGTCAACAAGGTGAAACCCCGTCTCTACTAAAAATACAAAAATTAGCTGGGCATGGTGGTACACGCCTGTAGTCCCAGCTACTTGGGAGGCTGAGGCAGGAGAATTGCTTGAACCCAGGAGGCAGAGGTTGCGGTGAGCCAAGATCGTGCCATTGCACTCCAGCCTGGGTAACAAGAGTGAAACTCCGTCTCAAAAAAAAAAAAAATTATTTGATTACAAACTGTAAACTTAACTTTTAGGATTCTTCCCTTTACTCAGCCACATACCTGCCTCCAGAGTAGTTGTTGCTAAGACTTTCTAAGGATGTCACAGTAATATGTGTGACACAAAGCTTACATTTAGTAGCCTAATAAAGGAGGAAATAATATTTTATTACATTATGAATTAGCATTAATAGAAGAGCCATAAATGGTAAGTTCATCTTTATTTTAAAAATCAGGCATGGTGCGGTGGCTCTCGCCTCTAATCCCAGCACTTCAGGAGGTCCAGGCGAGCGGTTCATGAGGTCAAGAGATCGAGACCATCATGGCCAACTTGGTGAAACCCCATCTCTATCAAAAATACAAAAATTAGCTGGGCATGGTGGCATGTGCCTGTAGTCCCTGCTACTCGGGAGGCTGAGGCAGGAGAATTGCTTGAACCTGGGAGGCGGAGGTTGCAGTGAGCCGAGATTGCACCACTACACTCCAGCCTGGTGACAGAGCAAGACTCCATCTCAAAAAAAAATCATATGCATGAGATAATATACTCTATTTTCATTCTGTTGTGACTGATAAGAAAATTTGCGCTGTAGTATGCAGGGGTTGGACCAAATGGTGTCATGAGTTGTTTTCAAATAAAAAAAATCCTGTACTTTAAACCTATGGTAATGGAAAATCTTTACACCTAAATTACTTTAAATTCACTTATGGAAAATAAAATCTGAGTCGATGTATTTTTTAAAAAAAAAAAACCAATAATATTTCTTTTTTCTGATTCTCAGTGTTGTAACACCGTAACAATATACTTAAAACTTTTTTATTCCTTTCTTAACAACATCTTCCTTCTTCCTTGACTTTTATAAAACGTATAGAATATGTTATTTGATCACTAGTTCTATGTAGTATATCCTAATATGAATACCAGATCACACGTGTATTTATATATTAATTTAATATCACATATAAATGTTTTTTTATGAGTGTTATTGTTTTAGTATTTCTGTCATATCAGATTTTAGGAATAGAGTTACATCTGCATCTTAGTTCATTTTCTATATTCGTTATTAAAATGTATAGTTGTTTAATAGGTTATTTTATAAAACAAGTAGCCATTATCCAGTGAATAGTAGAGCTGAAAATTTCAATATTTCAAAATTTTAAGCCTCAAATAACTCTCCTATTCCTTTTGTTTTTCTGGAATTGTATGGGTCCTCTGAAATAATAAGGTATCAGCTATGATGAGGTTGTAATAGTACTGGGCTGTTTAGTGATAATCTCTTTCTCTGAAAGATGAAGGTTTTCTGGGATTGTTTTTCTAATATGTTAGAATATGATTGTAATGACTAGACATATGTCTTCCAAAATTCTCTAATGGTTTTAGTAATTATTATTTTATTAAAGTACCAGGGAATTCTAGAGTTCTTTTTTTTTGGCAGGGGGGGTTAGTTGACAGTATGAATAGATAGAAAAGTCTCTTCTTACCTAAAATGCAATTAAAAAAAAGAAAAGGCTCTTCCTTAAACTTTTCGTGTGATAGTAATTTTTTAGCAATGATTAAATGTTTTTTTCTTTTTTCTGATTATCACCTCTTCATGCTTGCCTTGGCAGCACATATACTGATTATCACCCCTTCAAATTGCTTTCACATTTTGCAGTTGTCATATAATATATCTAAGAAAAGAGAAAAACAATATTCTCATACAGCAGAAAAATGAGGTGCCCTGGACAGAAAAGAAGCTTACCACATCGCAAACACACTGATGCTGTGTGGTATTTTTTTCTCTGAAATTTCCACACTCAACAGGAAACATAGACAGCAAGCTTAAGTGGGTGGGTCTCTGAGGTTAAAACTGTTAATAAAATACAATACATGAAATTTGGTTTTAAATTCAAAGTGCCCAGCCATGTTTAGTCCATTAACAGCAATAAAGTGTTCTGATGCTTCAGACTAGGTAAGTGTGCTAGAATTTTTTTTCCTCAAATGACTTTTTCCAGCTTTTAGAAAATGAAAGTGGTTAATCTACTGATTACAGTTGATGAACTTTTCATACAACTTGGATTTAGTAGTCTAATATATGAGGAAATAATAGTTTATTAAATTGTTAATTACCATTAATAGAAGAGCCATAAATGTTCATCTTTATTTTAAATATCAAATACATGAGATAATATACTTTATTTTCATTCTATTGTGACTGATAAGAAAATTTGCTACTGCAGTATGAGGGGGTTGAACTAAATGATGTCATGAATTGTTTTCAAATAAAAAAAATCCTATAATTTCAACCTGTGATAATGGGAAATAGTCACACCTAAATTACTTTGAATTCACTTTTGGAAAATGAAATCTGAGTCAGTGTATTCTTTTTTAAAACCAGTAACATTCTATGTCTTGGAAAATGCCTACAAGCTTTTTGATTAAGGAAGTGTCATTAGGCCAAACTAAAAATGTTTTGGCTATGAATTGCTGAAATGTTAGGACACTTGTGTCGTTTAAATTTATAAGTAACTTAAATTTTTCATGGTTTAATAAAATTAATAGGCTAAAAAATTGCCCTGAAAATTTAGATACTCATATATCATAAAAGTCAGGTGGTAGGGAGAGACCTATGGGTCATGTTGTGCTAATAAATTTATACATTTTAGATACAGAAACATAAGAGATTTGTCTAATAGGAAGTCACATCTCGAATTCAGAGTCCTTATCATTATTTTAATGCTTCCTACTGTACACATAATAACAGTTTATTCAGTTCTCTTTGGTCAGTGTTAGTGTATATTTTAGTCCAACCTTGCTTTTTACACGTTTAACATTCCAGCAGATAGTGAAACTTCAAACTTCATGAGATCATTATTTATCAGAATTCTACTGTTACTAAGTTTTAATGTAATCAGATGAGTTACTATTGCATTTGCTTTATGCCTTCCTTGGCAATTGTTTTTTTTTTTTTTTAGCCATAGAGAAGTATATATGTAGTACATGATGAGAGGAAAATATTCCAATGAGCTAAAAAGCAAGTCCAATACTACCTGCAATTCTTTATCAGTATAGGAAAATCTAAAAATAAATCTCAATTCACACAACAAAGGCCTATGATTCCTATTAACTATAACCAAAAATAGTCTTCATTTTAAAATTTTACTCATAGGTGTTTCTACATAAATTTTTATGATCTAGTTTTTGTAGGAAGACAACAGGAGCTGTTTCATTTTTGTACATTGTGCTATAATGGAAAATATATATAATTTTTATATGCTTCAATTCACTTCTGAAATATAAAACAAGGTGATTTATTATATACTTTATATAAGTAGCTTAAATTATTAGCCTTCACTTTAACTCTGCACTTCATAAAACCAGACATTTAAAGAGATAACATGTATTTTTCACTAATTTTGTCCATTATCTGAATTTGCATATAAAAAAGATTTTAGTTGTTAACTTCCTAAAATTCTGAGGGTTTATGATCTCTGCATAGATAAGTATCTTTTTATCTTAATCAATATCAAGATCTCTCTCTCTCTCTCTCTCTCTCCCTTTTTTTTTTTTTTTTTTTTTTTTTCTGAGACAGGGTTTCACTTTTGTCACACAGAGACTGCTGCTCACTGCAGTCTCAAATTCCTGGGCTCAAGTGATGCTCTGACTTCAGCCTCCCAAGTAGCTTGGATTACAGGCACCTGCCATCACACCCAGCAAATTTATTTTTTGTAGAGACAGAGTCTCCTTATGTTGCCCAGACTAGTCTCAAACTCCTAAGTTCAAGTGATCCTCCCACCGGGCCTCCCAAAGTGCTGGGATTACAGCACTGAGCCACTTCACCCAGCCAAGATATTTTTTAAAACATCACTTAGTTTTCATCTTAATCATTAGGATAACCTGATAATATGTAGACTGGTAACAAAACATATCCTTCTACTTCCTACCACTAGACAGAATTGTTAACCTTCCAAAATGGTTTTGGAAAAAGGAAAAATCCGCTAACCTACTATGTATTAAAAAATTTTTTAATAGATAAATGTAGTATGCATAATTATTTTTGTTCTGTCTTCACTGAGGCAGAGGATTGGGATTTAGATATGGAAGCATTCAGGAGATAATGTGCTAGGAATTATTTAATGCATCCCAAGATAAGCTAGTGTTCCAGATACTCTGGAATAGAGGTAGGTAGTCTCTGTCATATCAGTAACATCTGAGAAAACATTTAGTAGCAAACTCTTCCCTTTTTACCTTTCTCCTTCCTTTTCTTGTTTCTACTGTTTTTCTCCACTTCTTATGCTCTATCCTACTCTTTGTAGCCTGCCTTCCTTCATATAAAGCAAATGTACTTTCTTAGGAAGTTATTTGGTAAATAACCTCTAAATGCATTAATTTCTTACAAGTAAACTCTTTATGTTGCTAATCTAGAACATAATATATGAAAACAAATTCTAGGATTTAATTCATAGTTTGGAATATAAAAATAAAACGTTTAACATACTATTTATTTCCACAGATCCCCAAGTAAGCCATTGGCACGGAAGTTAATGGATTGGGAAGTGGTAAGCAGAAATTCAATATCTGATGACAGGTTAGAAACACAAAGCCTTCCATCACGATCTCCACCTGGAACTCCTAATCAGTAAGTACAGGCCAAGATCAGGTGTGAATTTTGGTAATTTCTAATTATTGGCTGTGTATTTTTATTACCTGAAGATAAAAATGTGTAAAAATTGAATTCTTTTGGTAAAATATGATTTTTATTGCTACCAGAGCATTATTTTCTCTTTACCTGATGCTCATTGCAGAAGTAACATGGTACAGACTTGAAGAATGAGAGTAGGGCATTGAATAAGGACCTCACTCTCACTTTCCTCAACAGTTGACTCTTGCAGTTAGAGTACCTGATAAATGAGGATCTGTTAGACTTAAAATCTCATATGGTTGTTGTTGACACACTCAGTTTTCATGTGGATTTTCAGCAGAATTTCAAGGGGAGTATATATTGTTTGAAAATGCTTTCCAAGTGATTGTGATTCTCTTACTTAAACCACTACCTCAACCATGACTACAGCATGTTCTGTGGCCTAGAAAATGGGGTTTCCCATCATTTTCAGCAAACTGACACAAGAACAGAAAATCAAACACCACATGTTCTCACTGATAGGCGGGTGTTGAACAATGAGAACACATAGACACAGAGAGGGGAGCATCACACACTGGGGTCTGTTTGTGAGGGCTAGGGGCAGGAGAGTAGGGGGTGGGGAGGTTGGGGAGGGATAACATGGGGAGAAATGCCCGATATAGGTGACGGGGATGGAGGCAGCAAACCACATTGCCATGTATGTACCTATGCAACAATCCTGCATGTTCTGCACATGTACCATAGAACCTAAAGTGCAATAAAATATATATGTAAAAAAAAAAGAAAAAGAAAAATGGGTTTCTAGCACCAGTTCCTATAAGCTTAGCTCTCCCTGAGCTAAAAAGCACTGTATGATGCAGTACTTACCATATATATATACTTCAGTCTGACATTGCTCACAAAAGTTGTGTATTTTGGTGTAAATGATAAGATCATAAACTAGCTAAATGTACTAGCTAAAGATGTTGATTATCTTAATTTTATAATATTACAAATGTTGGATGTAATTAAGATAATGGTAAACAAATGTGTGCCACCATGTAACATACTTTGTTAACCCATAAGGTACATTTATAAAATGCTTGAATTTTGGTATAAAATATATCTGAAGATGTCTTTTTCATAAATGTTTTATTCACATTAATGTTTAATAAGTTTGCACAAAATTCTAAATGTGGCTAGGTGTAATCCCAGCACTTTGGGAGATCGAGGCTTGCAGATTCCTTGAGGTCAGGAGATCTAGACCAGCCTAGTCAACATTTCGAAACCCCGTCTTTACAAAAACATAGAAAAATTAACTGAGCATGGTAGCATGCACCTGTTGGGGGTAGAGGCAGGGATCACTTGAACCCAGGAGGCGAAGGTTGCAGTGAGTTGAGATCACACCACTGCACTTCAGCCTGGGCGACAGAGTGAGACCCTGTCTCAGAAGAAAAAAAAAAATCTAAAAGCTATAGCATTGAAGGCTATGATCAGCTAAAGAATAAACTTCTACCATATCAGAAGTAAAACGTATACATAGACAGTTTGGTTCACAGAACTTTAATACTTATGTGTTAAAGTTACTCCTAGAAGAAAAGGATTTAGTAATTTCCATCTTGTGAATTTCAGGTTGCTAAATCATTTTTCCTTATAAATGATTGCATATATCCAAAGCCTCATTAATAGCAAGTTATAGAAGATGTAAGATATTTAAGCCAAAGTACACAAGTAATTAATTAGCAGTAGCTCTGATTAAGTTTTCTGGTTAATGAAACAATTTTAGATATATTCTAAAAAGTTTTTTTTAAATTCTAAAGAGATAGCACAAGGTGGTGGATAAGAGCATGGGTCCTAGAATCACTGTATGCTTAATCTCTGTTTCATTTTTCTCATCTACAAAATTATAATAGTGTCTTTCTTGTACTGTTGTTAGGAGGATTAAATTAAATGCTTAGAGCAATATCTGACACATAAGTACTGAAATATTGTAATTAAAAATTGTAATAATACTAATCTGTGTGACTGTCAAGGGGATGGCAATATAGTATTCACTACCTAGTCTTAGGATTCAAAGAAAGTCTCCCAAATAAAAACATTTATAAGCATTAAAAAAGAATTCAGACTAGAATATATTTTTAAATCACTTATTCTAATCCCTTTATTTTATAAATGCTGAATAAGACAAAAATCATAGTGACTAACACCTAGAAACATTAAGGTACTTAGATAGAGATAGTAAATAATTTTATGGGTAGAATTCTTGGCAGATTGTTGACTATAACTCAGATCACTGACTTCCCAATCTCTGTTCTCTGTTTATATCACACTGTTTTTTGAGTGATTGCTTAGTCAACATGGTTTCACTTAAAAACACATACCCACTTATAGATGTAATCATATATTTAAAAACTTGAAAATTTTGAATTAAAGCATATTTTTATTCAGTTTTTCTCCCTCTTTATTTAGTCGAAATTCTGCATTCACGCAGGAAGGAACTCGGTTACGACCATCTTCAGTTGGTCATTTGGTAGACCATATGGTTCATACTTCCCCAAGTGAAGTGTTTGTAAATCAGAGATCTCCGTCGTCAACACAAGCTAATAGCATTGTTCTGGAATCATCACCGTAAGAGCTTTTTTAAATTTTGCTTCCTCACTCTGTATTTTCAAATGCTCCAAATTGCTTCATTTAAAATAATCTGGGAAATTGTACAAGATTTTAGTTATGAAACTTTTCAAAATTTATATATTTGCAGTTACGCTCATTTGCTCCTGAGGGTTCTTGTTGCCTCTCCCTCCTCCACCCAGTCAAATGTTGTTATTTTGTTGACTTAGTTTTTCAAGTTTTAGTGCATAAACTCAGATATTTCTGCAGATAATGTAGCACTCTAGTTAAGAAGGAGGGTAGTGAAAGTAGAGCTTCCTAATATTTTTAAAGGAAAAGAATCGTAAAGATGAGTAAAAATGTTGAGAAAATTAAAATACAAGGTACATAGTTAAGAAGATTTATGAATTGCTGAGAAGGAGAAATTGGTGTAAGATATAGTGAATGTGATCAGAGGTAAAGAATGGGTCCAAGAGTGATAGGTGGAACAGAGTACAGATGTGTGGTCATCTTTGTCTCTGGGTAGGGCAAACCAAGGAAGACTGGCTGAGCTATTAAAACAAGCAGAAGTTCAGCTTGCATGACATGCATCTTAGTAAAACATTTCGATTGTGTATATATATTATTAAAAGTGGAGAAATAGGACAGATACACACTGCACAACGATACCTGTGGGGAACTGTCAAGAAATAGGATTGATGGGAGATTTAATATTTTATTACTTTAAAAGTTATAATTCTAAACTTTCTGGTTGATTTTTAATAATTAGATATGTTGTAATGTGGAAACTTTAAAAAGTGTAGTAACTAAGGACACAACTGAAATAATTGATTTGATTTTTAAATTGTATGTTTTTCATGATATAAAAATGTACCATATGCAGGACTCACAGAAGCCTAATAACAAAGCAAAACCAATATAATTCTTGATGCCTAACCAAGTTATCTTTATTTTTTAAAGGACATTTTTCAAAGAAAGGCATTTAAACATAATTGAATATTTCTACATGTAAATTGTATAGATTCACAAACTCCCAAATCACTTGCTGATAGGGTTTGGCTCTGTGTCCTCACCCAAATCTCACCTTGAATTGTAATCCCCATAATCTCCATGTGTCAAGAGCAGGACCAGGTAAAGGTAGTTGAATCATGGGGGTGGTTTCCTCCATGCTTGTTCTCATGATAATGCGTGAGTCTCACAAGATCTGATGGTTTTATAAGTGTCTGGTATTTCCCCTGCTTGCACTCATTCTTTCTTCTGCCACCCTGTGAAGAGGTACCTTCCACTGTGATTGTAAATTTCCTGAGGCCTCCTCAGCCATGTGTAACTGTGAGTCAATTAAACCTCCTTTCTTTATAAATTACCCAGTCTCAGGTATTTCTTCATAGCAGCATGAGAATGGACTAACACATTTGCCATTTCAAAACACCTTTATTCTCCTTTCCTGACTTGAGTGGAGAAGTAAGTTCAGGGTAGCTTGGAACTGTGAAGAGGTTTTGCTACTTCTCTCATGCTCAAGAATTTAAAATGCTTGGAGTCTTCTCCTTGGACATGTATTTTATGAGGCTTATGTGTTTATATTCCATTTTGAATCTATAATACTGCATTTGACATTCAACCAGTCTTAAGAATAATGAGAGCATGCTCAAAAGATAAGCTTAATAACTTACATAGTTGCTTACAGTAAATTATACATAATAAATTATCTCACTGTTCTATTCAGGAGAACTCAATGAAGTAGGTAGGAAAGATAGGTAATGTCTGTCTTATAGATGAGAAAGCCACACTTAGAACACTTGTCCCAATTTACAGAACAAAAACTCAGGCTTTTTCTAGTAGAATCAGCCAGGAGAACTTTGTATCCCAAACAAGATGTTATAGATGTTCTTTGATTTGCAATTTAGATATAATACTTTGCAACTTGGAATCCATAGATTTTAGTTTTTCTATTGTCCAAATGTGAAAATAATTCAAATGATGTACTGGATTAAGCACAGAACATTTCAACATGTAATGAAATAGATATTTTTTCAGGTTTTTTTTCACATATTCTTTTTTTTAATTGTCAGATAAAATCATCTTACCAATACTTTATTTGAGTACTTGGTTGCTTATACTGTTTAGAATAAAGTTATCGTTTATAGGCTAAGGATAAAGTAAAGGAGACCACAGTCTACAACAGAATATGTGAATTGGATGGTTAAATTTATTAGGATGCAAATTTCTAATGTCAGCAACAGAGAGCTGCATTAACTGCAAAATAAGCTTTTTTCACTGCTGTTGTTGAAGAATTTTTGAGGAAATTTAAAGGACTGAAATAAATTGTGTACATTTTTTCACACATCTTGATTGACATTTTTGACAAACCTTTTGCTACTATGTGACAATATATTGCTGTTACCAGCATAGTACACTTGAACATAACATATTCATTATTTGCCCTCCATTTAACATTTTCCAAAATGTCAAATTGCCAAGTGTGGTGGTGTGCCCCTGTTGTCCCAGCTTACTCAGGAGATTGAGGCAGAAGGATTGCTAGAGCCCAGGAGTTTGAGGATGTAGTGATGGTGCCTATGGATAGTCACTGCCCCTCAGCCTGGACAATACAGCAAGAGTTCTAGGAGTTCTGTTGAGGCCTCAAATACTGACAGGTAGGGGTGCTTGTTAGCATTTATCTATTTTATAAATTGGATTCTGAGAAACTTTTTTTAAAGAAAAAATTCCACTGCTACAAAAAGTTTGGAAACCTCTGATTTAAAATAACATTTCTCCTTTTTGCAGTTATTTTCTTTGAGATGCAACTATATATCATAGTGGTTACTAGCACCAGCTCTAGATTCAGACTAGGTTTAAAACGTGGTTCCACTGCTTCTAATTAGGTGACCTTTGGTGAGTTGTTTTATCTCATTAAGCCTCAGTTTCCTCACCCCTTTAAAAAAAAAAAAACAGGATAATAATAATATCTACCTCAAAGAGTTGCTGTAAGCATATAATAATTATATAGCTTTTTTTAGCTAAGCTCTTGGGATATATTCTGAAAACTTTAATATATTATCAACAGTTTGTCTGGATATTTGAAGTATGAGAATCTGGTTAAACACAATGAGGAATTCTCCAGATACTCAACTTCATTCTTAGATCCCTAAACACAAGATACTTTAGGCAGACTTCATGATCCACAGGTGGCTTTTTGTTTGTTTGTTTGTTTGTTTGTTTGTTTAGGGACAGGGTCTTACTCTATTGCCTAGGCTGGAGTGCAGTGGTGTAATCACGGCTCACTGTAGCCTTGACTTCCTGGGCTCAGGTAATCTTCCCACCTCAGCCTCTGAAGTAGCTGAGACTACAGGAACACAACACCATGCCCAGCTAATTTTTGTATTTCTTGTGGAGACAAGGTTGCACCATGTTGCCCAAGTTGGTCTTGAACTCCTGGGCTCAAGTGATCCACCTGCCTCAGCCTCCCAAAGTGCTGGGATTATGAGTGTGAGCCACTGTGCCTGGCCATCCTCAAGTGTTAAATCCATTTTCCTGAGCCATTCTTTCCTGGACTATTCCATTCTAGTCTTATCTAATGAATCCCCACAGCTTTGTCCATACCTCATCAATTTCTTTTGCTTAGTCTTCAAAGCTTTGCCTTGCCTTTATCCCTCTCAGATATTGGCACTGATGATTTCCATCTACAACTCAGTTGTCCCCAATTCCCATTCCAGCCTTGGTCAAGTCTAGCAATATATTATGAACTCTTCAAATACTAGGCTATTCTATGAGAAGGAAATTTTAAAAAATCAAAGAAGGTTTGAATAGAAGGAGATACCAAGCCATGGGTACCTAGAGAATGCACCATATTAGATGCTGTATTTATGACATCAAGACTAATTACAGATCCCTGTAGCTTCAGTATGCTTACCTGCCATTCACCTCTGGCTAAAGGTTCTATCACTTGCACTTGGGAGCTAAGGGCAGAGACATTGAGTTTGGTTGAAACCAAGAATCTCAGGTCACTGGGAGGCTTATTCTGGAATAGATTCCTACTGATAAAATCACATGACACTGTCAGTTCTGTTCTTATGTATTAATCGTATCTCTGATAAATTTACATGCACTTTTTATTTTTAAAGTGCCTCGTACACTAATTAGTAATCAACCTAAAATGGCATTTACTTTGAAACACTGTAATTATCAGAATAAAGCAGCCAAATGTCAGGAAGCCTGAATTTTGAATGAGAATTTTATCTGTATCTAATGTAATATAAATGCAGTACGTGTTTGGGTTAAATGCCTGTTGAAGATTAGAATAACAGTAATTGAGAAATGATCTCTTGATGTACATCTTAGAAAATAAGAAGTTTGAGCCGGGCGCGGTGGCTCAAGCCTGTAATCCCAGCACTTTGGGAGGCTGAGGCGGGTGGATCATGAGGTCAAAAGATCGAGACCATCCTGGTCAACATGGTGAAACCCCATCTCTACTAAAAATACAAAAAAGTAGCTGGGCATGGTGGCGCGTGCCTATAATCCCAGCTACTCAGGAGGCTGAGGCAGGAGAATTGCCTGAACCCGGGAGGCGGAGGTTGCGGTGAGCCGAGATCGTGCCATTGCACTCCAGCCTGGGTAACAAGAGCAAAACTCCATCTCAAAAAAAAAAAAAAAAAAAAAAGAAAATAAGAAGTTTGTTGTTTTCTTAAAGAGACAGGATCTCACTCTGTCTTCCAGGCTAGGGTATAGTGGCAGAATTATAGCTCACCACAGTCTCAGACTACGGTGCTTAAATGATCCTCCCATTTCAACATCCTGAGTAGCTGCGACTACAGGTGCATACCACCATGCCTGGCTAATTTTTAAAAAAATGTTTTTGTAGAGTTGGTGTCTTGCTATGTTGGCCAAGCTGGAAAATAAGAGTTTTTAAAAGAGCTATCATTTCTGGCACATTTGTATTAGTGTCTAACAAGAATGTAGTTTTTGTTTTCTGGTCTTATATTGGAATAAATTTTATGTTTCTGTGACAGATTCCTATGTACAGTTGTGCCTTTACTATTTTTTTTAATTTATTATTTTCAAGGGTTGTTCATTTTTCTTCTTTTTTTTGAGACGGAGTTTCGCTCTTGTTACCCACGCTGGAGTGCAGTGGCACGATCTCGGCTCACCGCAACCTCCGCCTCCTGGGTTCAAGCAATTCTCCTGCCTCAGCCTCCCGAGTAGCTGGGATTACAGGCATGCGCCACCATGCCCAGCTAATTTTTGTATTTTTAGTAGAGACGGGGTTTCACCATGTTAACCAGGATGGTCTTGATCTCTTGACCTCATGATCCACTTGCCTCATTTTTCTTCTTTAAAAGTAACAAAAATAATCCCTTCAGGATTGCATTTGTTTTTCACTTTCCTAAATCAGATCTTTTCCAGCTCTCTTCTTTAAAGCCAGATGATTTCCTCCACTTGTATGTCTCCAGTTAATCCCTACTTCTTTCTTTATTTTATATTTCCCTACTCCTGTCTGAACTACCTGTTAGTAAATGCTGGCCTTCTTTGAAAATTATAGGTCTCTTCCTTGAGGGTACCAGCTGTTATTTCTCATAGGCCTGTGTTTCACTATGCTGCCTGGTCATTCTGCGAATTACATGATGTCTCTTCATTCTCTTATACTTGGCAGATTTTTTGGGGTGTGTGCGTGCTTAGAAATACTATTGTTTTTAAGAATTGGCCTGTCTCCAGACCTTATAGCTGGGATGACTTCTGATCAGTCAACAGAAGAGTAGATACTAGGTGTAAAATGCATGCTTGAGTGCCACATAAGCAGCCATGTGGCTTGACACAGTAGCTGTCGTCTCTCTTATACCTGTCCTTAGGCAGTAAGACAGTAATTCTTTTATCAGATAATAATGCCAATAGTGGTCAGCGTTCTTATGAAGAACAATTTTCCCCTTACCTGTTTATTCTTTTACTTCTCCCAAATGCACAACTTCCACAGATTCATACTTCTTAAGACATAAGTTGAACCACAAATTTCCACTTTTGGCCTTAGTGGAAAGCTCACAGGTAATGTTGTTATACACATTACAGTTATTAAAAGCCAGAATTTCTGCCCTAAAGTTACCTTTACCCTATTTAGCTCTTTTTATCTATTCCTGTTCCCACAAATTGAGGCATATGTTCTCTAATGTTAATTGGATTTTGTTTTCTCACCTTAAATCATATATTCTGACAATATCTCAACCAGTTTTGTCTCTAGTGATGATCTTAACACTCTTACTCAGATTTCTAATCCTTATCACGTCACTGAATTCATTACTTCCATGAATTGTATTTCATTTCTAAATAGATTAGGCCAATCTCTTAAGTTGTTTAGATGAGAATCATTATTTTATCTATGGAACTACCAAATTATCAATTCTGGATTTTCTTGCCTGCCTTATTCCTGGCTACCCATATCTCCTCTGAAAACCTGAAAATTTTTTTTGAAAGGTGTTTACTATGTTATAGTAGATTAATAGGTATCTTCACAGGAATATCTTTAAAATATATTTTATTATATTATTATTTATAAATTTGATAAAGTAGGAAATTTGATTTATTAATTCAAAGTTAGGAAATTTTTTATTAAAAAATGGCACTTCCAAATAAACATGGTATTTAGAGCCTACTACTAGACATTGTAAATATGTGGGTTGCTTGACCCTAACTTTTAAAGACTAAGGTCTGAAACAACTTCCAACTTTGTTTTATTGTCTAGATCACAAGAGACCCCTGGAGATGGGAAGCCTCCAGCTTTACCACCCAAACAATCAAAGAAAAACAGTTGGAATCAAATTCATTATTCACATTCACAACAAGATCTAGAAGGTCATATTAATGAAACATTTGATATTCCGTCTTCTCCTGAAAAACCCACTGTAAGTAGCTTCTTCAGATATTCTTATTTTTCTTTGAATTTTTACAATCCTAAATGAAATTTCTCTTGTATTGTGGCATTTTTTAGTTGTAAGTTGTATTACAGTACTTTTTCTTTCTCATTATATTCTTTGGTCATGAATTGTGCCATGATGTAACTCAATATAAGTTCTGTAATTAGAAGTGATCTTGGAGTGCACAGAGTATATAATTAAATAAGCTGTGGGTTAGGGGAAGATTCCTAGAAGAGATCATCTCTGATAAGAACTAGTAAGATTCTTTCCTTCCAAGAGCAGGCATAGAACATACTGCATGAAAGAAGCCTGCGACAAATAGCCATGTGTCATGTGATTTCATATATGTGAAATGCCCAAAACAAATCTATCAAGAAACAATAAATAGATTCATGGTTGACTAGGCTTTGGAGGATGTCAGTTGGGGAAATGGGGAATGACTGCTAATGGATACAAGATTTCTTTTGGAGTTGATGAAAATATTCTAAAATTAGATAATAGTGATGTTTGTACACCTCTGTGACAAGAGTAAAAATTATGGAAATACACACTTTACATAGGTGAAGTGTATGATATATGAATTATATCTCAATAAAGCTGTTTTTTAAAATCACATAAGCAACAGAGGAAGTATCATTTGAATTCATGTAATACTTATGGGCACTTGCTGTGTACTCATATATATGACCCAGGTTCTACAGATAATAGCAATTAATACAGACGTGGTCCCTGTTGCTCTTGTCACTTTAATAGTCTAGCATGTGGTGGCAAGAATGCATGAGAGAATATATCTGGTTGGCCTAACTGCAAGTTATTAGTCAAAGAAATTTACTCTCCTCAACTAAAATTTTTTATTAGAATTATGATTTTTTGCAAACTGTAGTTACAAAAAGTATGAAAGATAGATTTTAAGTGAACAAGATTACAAATTACTTAATTTTGTCTTTTTAAGCCTAATGGTGGTATTCCACATGATAATCTTGTCCTAATCAAAATGAAACCTGATGAAAATGGAAGGTTTGGATTCAATGTAAAGGTAATCTGGAATTTATTTTATACTCAGTTTTTAAATTAAGATGTTCTTATTTTGGTAATATTTGACTAACATTTGACTTACTGTCTTTTTTAAGGGAGGATATGATCAGAAGATGCCTGTGATTGTGTCTCGAGTAGCACCAGGAACACCTGTGAGTTATCCAAATTTTTCAAATAAATCCTGTTGTCAAGAATATATACTTATTTTATAATTGTTATTAAATAAAGGAAATAATTTCATTTATTTTATTTATCAAGTGTCAAATATTGGCTGAATCTCTTTAAGTTGCTGGGAAATTAGTTTTTACTTTTTCTATAAGTTTTTTAAATCCCTGTTTTTATAAAGAAGCTATTTATGACCTTCAGTGCTTCTAAAGCATTAACAAACTCTATCAAAATAACCCTCTTAAACAACAAAATATAGACAGGTATAGTTTTGTGGGGGGTTTTGTTTGCTTGTTTATATTTTATTAGAGTAGTTTAAGTACATTATACTTGTCTACGCACTTCTTTAAAATTTAACTTCAAATGGAAATGATAACTGTAAAGACAATTTAAAAAATTTTTAAATATGAACATTCTAAACAAAAGTAGAGAAAACATATATCCATTATGATTAATCGCCTGTTACTCATCATTCAGCTTGCACAATCATGAACTTTCTGCTCATCATAGGACAATTCTTAATTAGTTGTAGGTGCATCATCTTTATTATTGTTTTATATAGCAAATACTGTTTTCAAATTCCCATTTTTGTTGTCTACTCTGTTTACTTAGCTTTTTCTTACCTAAATGATCTTCAAGCACCCTTTATCATTTAATTTCTCTCTGTCCTAGGAAAGGTATGAACCAGCAGCCTGAGAGAAAGAGGCCAGCTATGCTTTTTTTGGTGCTTTGCAGCAACCTCAAAGTTGGTTTGAAAATTACAGTTGAGATTGATTAAGGATATCATGATATGTGGTTTTGGTTCTGGTTTTAAGAACCTTGTTTTTTTTGCAAAAATGACAGGATACTCATGGAATACCCCTGGCATGAGCATACACACAAAATACCTTATTTAAATATAAATACATCCAATAGCTATTGAGGTGTCACACAAAACGAAAGAGCTCAGATACAGTCTACCTCTACAAAGAACTTTAAACATCATCAAGACTTTCTGCTTTTCATCGGTTTCTTTTTATGTGATTGTTTGATTCCTCTCTTTCAGTGCAAATGAATTTGTACAGTGAATCAGCCTGTCTCTCAAGCCACTCCAGATAAACATTCCAGTCTAAGTAAAAACAATGTACTTAGTAGCAGCTTCAAGCAGAGTTTTGTAACACAACTAACACACACAAACACACACACACACACACACACATACACATACACACACCCCAGATTGTAACTCCTAAGTCTCCACTAAATAGAAATTGTATTTACCTACTGCTGTTTTGGTCCTCAATCCACCACAGTGACCTCTCGGTCTGAATTATAGACTCCTGGGAGGTAAACCCTTAACAGAGTCAGTATGGATCATATTTCCTCATTTGAAAAACGTCCATTGTGGTTGGGGAACAAGACCAGGGATATTATGTATAAAATGACTCCTGGGGACATACTATTAATATGTATGTAAAAGATGGGGACAAAGTAGAGATAATCCAAAATTATTTTATATACGTTTGATGGGAAATATGAATATGATTGGGACAGCAGATGAAGGGAGAAGGATTGATGAATTATCATCTATCATGTAGAAAGTTAACAGATAACGTCTAAAACAGAAAAGAAAAATGATAGGGAGATGTTAGAAATGCAGAGGTAAATACAGAAAGATATAGCTAAAGTGTTGAAGAAAGTTTCCTCTAGGGATCAGGAGGTAACAGGGAGGAACACAAATGGTTTCTTAACAATCTTATAGACCTGGTCAACTCTTTTAGTGGTATGATTTACAACTTTGCTAAAAACGAAAATTTACGACTTAAAAAAAAATTATATTATCATTTGGCTTGACAAGTTCACATTTAGGATTTTCCCCTAATGAAATAATTGGACTAGAGAACAAAGAATATTTATACAAGGATATTAATTGTATGGTTTATAACAGTATAAAATGGAAAATAATCAAATGTGGACTAGGGAACAAACAATATTTACACAAGGATATTAATTATGGTATGATTTATAAGAGTTTAAAATGAAAAATCAATGTTAATCATTAGAGTTGGGGAAACAAATTATATGTTGCTTTGTATCTATTGAGATGATAGCATAACTATAAACATGGAAATACATCCATAAGATGGCCTTATGGAAAAATACATGTTATAATTTCACAAATATGTTTGATCCAGTTTCTTAAAATATTACATATATAGAAGAATTCTGAAAACATGCTAAAAAGGTTAGCAGTCTTACATCTGGGTAATGGAATTACAGATATATTCTGTATTCCTTTTTTAATTTTCTGGATCATGACAATGAACATGTATTGCTCTTATAATTAGAAAAGGTAATATGCATTTCTTTATTTACATGGCAGTTGTAATAGTCAATGAGTCACACAAAAAGAAGTATTCATTTTTCTGAGCAACGAATGTGGATAGTTTTCAATTAAGTGAAGGATTCAGAGAACATTCCATAAATATATTCATTTCCAAACAGAATTCTAAGACTCGTAAGTTCTCTTTTTAATCTCTACATATTGTTGGTAATTCTTCCCTTCTGTCTTGTAGAACTATGTTCCATAAATGTTGGCTGAAGTTTAGAACAAATTAAAACATAGTCATTCTACTGGGGAGAAATTGAAACAATAGGAATTTATTACTTTTATATTATTTTATTAATTTAGAGACCACCATAACCTTCTAATTGGAAACCACAGTTTGGGGAAAGGAAAAAGGTTTCTATTTTTTTTAAATACATGATAGTTGTACATATTTATGGAGTTCAAATATTGTTATTTTTTAATATTGGGCACCTTCTGAAATGGATAAAGTAACTCCCAATTAGTTATGTTTCTCTTTCTGTTCGGTAATCTTAACCAAAAGCTATTGCTCCAACAAAACTCATTTTAACATACAATTTTTTGGCCAGGCATGATGCTCATACCTGTATTCTTCGCACTTTGGGAGGTCAAGGTGCGAGGATTGCTTAAGCTCAGGAGTTTTAACAATATCCTGGGCAACATAGTGAAACCTTGTTTCTACAAAAAAATGTTAAAAATTAGCCAGATATGGTGGCACATGCCTGTGATGCCAGCTACTCCAGTTGCTGTAGTGAGAAGATCACTTGAGCTCAGGAGATTAAGTCTGCAGTGAGCTGTGATCATACCACTGCACTCCAGCCTAAGCAACAGAGCAGGACCTTGTCTCAAATATATAGCAAGATCCTGTCTGAAACACACACAGACACACACACACAGACACACACACACATGACCCTCGAACATATATATTTGGGCGAGACAGGATCTTGCCCTGTATGAGTATAAACACACACACAGTTTATTTAAACTTAATAGATCAGAATGAAATGCAAATTAAAAATTATAACATATCTGACCAAAGGCATATTAACTGTAAGAGAGTTCCTGTTAGTGATAATGGACATAGTAAGAGATTCGCAGCTATCCTCTTTAACACATAGACCACCTTTTTTTTTTCTGTCAACCTCACCAGGCACAAAATAATCTGAGGGAAAGCTCTGTCTGCTATAGCCCATTACTACATTTTCCCCAGTACCATTGGCTCCCGGTTCACCATACTTCAGATATCTCACAGACATTTATAAAAACTTGGAACTAATTGGTATACAAAAGCATCACACTGCTAGTGCACAGAGGGAATATGTGAATGTCAACCATCTACTTCACTACATAAGTAGACAAAAAAGCAACTTGAGAGAATGAGCATAACTCTAAATTTGGATAATCTAGATTTTAAAGCTTTGGGTTGAATTATCTCATCCTTAGCTTCATAACAACTCTAAGAAATAATCAGGTTAGATACCTGTTCCGTTTCTAGAACTTCAGATGTCTAAGGTCACACATTTCAGAAGCAGCAGAGTAACTTCTAGACCAATGTTCTTTCTACCGATGACAATACCTTATTGGATTTTATTGACTTTGTGTTGATAATGAATTTTAATAGTTGTACTTTTATTTCTTTATGCCTTTACCACAACTTTTTTGTAAAATCTAACCCCATCATTTCCTTTTCGGCCTAGCATATCATTCTTCAAACTTCTCTCTCATATGTTTTCATTGCTGTGTTTCTAGAACATGCTGTTCATATTTCTATCTTTTGTCTCTTCTACCTTAATTACTGTTTTGTCTTCTTACTTTGCACTATACCATGAAAACGACTATACAAGATGAAATCATGCAAGATCTTCATGATTAATGGAAAAAATTGTAGTTGTTCCCATGACCTTTAAATTTATTGTCAAAATGTTAAGAATTTCCCTTACTGTCTCTTATAAAAGTAAAAAGAAATAAACAAAAAATAGTAAAGCTATTATGGATTTTTGCATCCTGTAATTCAAAACATTAGAAACACTGAGAATTTAAATGTTTTATTTTCTTGTGAAAACTCATCATGAGTAGTTTGAATGGTGCTTGCCCCTTCCCTGTGGTACAGCTTAGAACACAAAGTGAGCATCCTTTCCTGCCTTGGCAAATTGTCATAATCCTATGTACTTGACATGCTTTCAACGTTTTGTCCTTTAAACTTTTGATGTTGTGAAGTATCTCCAAAAGTTCCTTTGGCTGCATATGTAGAATCTCTCGAAAAACAGTAGTGTTAACATGCCCATGGTCGCCTATTGCTTCTCTGACTCTTTATGGTCAATTCAAACCTCCAGCATTAATCACTATGCTGCACTTTCATCTTTTGTGGCCAATTTCCTCTTTAGATTTAGGTTATTCATTTCAAGATGGGTTTATCTCTGGGAGACTAGGAAGCAGCCCAACTACATGCTTTCCTGTCTGTACTTGAACTGAAAACAGATGTGCATTGTCAGATGACTAGCAGACTTTGGAAGAACTGGTGTGACTGGCCACATTATGATGGGTGTCTATTATTTATAGTAGTGTTTTTTTTTTTTATTGAGCTATTCACAAGGTTTGTACTTTTTTCAGTTATTCACAGTAAATACACTGTGGTAACTAAAATTTGAATTATATTGTTGGGGGACTGGTGTTATTTAACTAAACCATGGTAACTGAAATTTGTATGTATCTAGACAGTGTAAAGTTAGGGCTCCTTATGTGTATGTACCTGTAAATCATCAGTATTATTTGTATGTCTATACATAACGGGTCACCAGGAAAGAAATTGTTGAATGAAGAAGGAACAAAAATATTATCTCTCTGGCAAAGCTCGATTTCTACATTTTAAAAATAGATGAATAAAAGAATAGATCCTTTTCTATATGTAGTTTAGTTTTCCTGCTATAGGGTCTATAAAAATAAAATCCTGCGCTCTACTTTCAGAAAGTTGCATGCCAGTCTGAAACCTTATCTATATTACATTACAGGCTGACCTCTGTGTCCCTAGATTGAATGAAGGGGACCAAGTTGTACTGATCAATGGTCGGGACATCACAGAACATACTCATGATCAGGTTGTGCTGTTTATTAAAGCTAGTTGTGAGAGACATTCTGGGGAACTCATGCTTCTAGTTCGACCTAATGGTGAGTACTTTATATGGTACCAGATATTTATCATAATTTATTACTGTTTATAGCTGAACACAGCAGCCAGCTTTCTGATATAAAACGTAAGTCACCTAAGTTTCCTGCTCCAAGCACAGTGGCTTCCATTGACACGTGGAGCAGAATTCAAGTTCCTTGCCACCCACCCCTTGCTCTCCTACTCAGCCTTGCTTACTTTCCTCTATTCTACACTAGCTTTCTTGCAGTTCCTCAAATGTTCCAATCTAATCCACTTATTAGGGTTTTGGTCCTTGCTGTTCCCTCTGCTAACATACTTTTCTTGATTTCGTTATGACATACCTATACTTCATTCAGGTCTCTGCTCAGATGTCATCTTCAGAAGGGCTTTCTCTCCTGACTGTCATAGCTAAAATGGCCTCCCATTTCCCCTAAAATAGCAGTAGTCGTAGTACTAGTACTCAGTAAAAACTAGTTGAATGAATGAGTAAATTTGAACTCTGTTCCACTTTTAGAAAATGTCATAACAAGCTATAGTTGAAGTGTTTTAAAAATACTGTCTGTGTTTTCAGTATGTATCTACTAGTCTAATCATGTTATCTCCCGATCTGGACCGCTAACTTGTTAATTCATAGTTATAGGTTTTCAGGTTTGGAGAAACCTTGAACACCATAAGCTCTAGCTCCTTTGCTTATTGCTTGAATTTCCTCCACCACAACGTCAAGAACATCCTATCAATATAGAGCACTTGGTGGCTCCTGAATCAGGTCATTCCATCTTTGGATAGCTCAAACTATAAATTGAACTAAAAGTCCATCTTTCTTGAGTCCTGCTCCTAATTCTATCACTTTATGCTATGCATTATAAGTTTAACCCCTCTTCCTTGAGTTTTTTTTTTGACAGCAGCTAATTTTCCCAGAAACCCTCCTCCCTTTATCCAGTTTAACAGTCCTAGGGTCTTCAGCCAGTGTTCATATGGCATTGTTTAGAGTTCCCTCAAAACTCTTTTATCAGTCTCCTCTAAGAAAAAAGTTTTATATTTCTAATATTCCCAGAATTAAACATACTCTTCTGGTTTTGTTCTGTATAATTTGCTATTATTATTTTAGCCACAGAATAATTACTGTTAATGCCATATTACCACTTGTTGAATGTGTACCACAGAAAAGTAAAATACCATTCAAATTCTATTTGTCACCACTACACCCAACCCTGCAAAATTTTGCAAGGATATTTCTTTTTTATAAACAAAACAAAACAATCCTCTTTTTACCTCTTGTTCACAAATAGGCGTTTTCATTTTATCTTCTCCACTTTGTGTTCTTTTCCATTCATGGTCTAGCATTGGCTTTCTAGGAAGATTAAAAGGACTTCAACAGAACATTCTATTTTGACTTTTCAAGGAACTTGTTCATTTAGACCTGATACTTAGGTGAGTCATTAGGCATTTTCTATCACATACAGCTACTTAAATTTTAAACCAGGAATAATATTATTTTTTCTGTATTTATTGTATTCTGTTTTCTCTTGGTAATCGATCCTAAAGAATTCAATAATATTAACTAATAGTTATTAAAGCTTTCTATACACCTAGGCTCTTTTGTGTATTTTCATTTAATCCTCACAGACATCCAGTGAGATAGATGAATTATCCCCATTCTAGAGTTGAAGATACTTTGACACCAAAACGTTCAGTTGCCTGCTCACAGATTCAACCAGATTATGAACAAAAATCCATGTGATGCCAAAGACCCAGCCTTTTTGCAATTCCAAATCTCATCCTTTTGCTTTACAGTAGGAGAGGAACCCACCTAGGGTCTACTTCTTGCAAAAGATCTTTCTAAATTGTTTTATAGTCAAAATGTGGAGCCAGATGTGCATCTGCTTTCATTGTAGGTCTATCATGTCCATTCTTACTTTAAGTAACATATAATTAAAATTTAAAACTATGTTTCTAAGAATATATTTTTGTTTTTCTTATCTTTTCCCCTATAATTCTTATTTCTTCTTAGGCAAAGTGTTGTCATACCTTTTTGTGTTTTCATCCTTCATTTCAGAAATTTATTTTTCTAAAAAATGTATACATATTCAAGGAGGAACCAGATCTCTTAGGCAAGGGTAAAGGAAGCCCCTACCTTGGCTCCATATTTTAGAAGGCCCTGCTTTGGCTCTCATTCTTCTCCCAATGGAGTTATGATTTTATAAGACCAAAAGGACATACCAAGCTATAACCTCCCTTCCTTTTCTGTACCACTTTTTTCAAACCTCATTTCTGGGTCCAAATAACCCTGAGCCTTTCTAGATCTTATGAGTATTTTCCTCACATCCATTCTCTCAAGGTTGGTTCACATGGTATGTGTATCCCAGCCCAGCTGGTAGCTAAGAGGCTACAGTTTATAGAGGGAGAGGAGTAAACATAGCTTGCATGTGGGCTGGGATCTTTGCCTACCTGTTTATAGGCCCCTATGTTAAAAAATGGAACTGAGAGTGGGAAAAGAAATACGGTGGAATATAGGCCTAGGATCTAGGGTCCAATTCTCCTCACATTACCATGACCATGAATTCTGGCTTAGAATTCTCATTTGAAGTCTGACTTCCCGGTTGTTTCGTAGATACATCACAGAAAGAGGATGAGTTATATTTTGTTTAGCACTGTGTTTGTTGTAACTTCTCATAGTTAGACATATGGTGTATAGGCCTCTATTTGTACTCTTGCCCTAGGTCCCTCCAAATTAAGGGCAGGTGTATTCACAGCTGCTTCTTAGCAGCTCTTCTCTTTCTTATTATCTCTTCAAGTTACCAACATTTTCAGCCATGTAGCCAAGAACACTTCTTTCTTCCAAAGGTACAGCAAAGCTCTTCAACTCCACAACTAATTTCTGTCCCCCCCCATAGTGACACCAGACTCAGATCTAGTGTAATTCTTCATAAATGGATTATTTTTTGAACAAAACATTATACAGTATCTGATAAATTCCTATCATTAATTCATTAAGATTTCCATACATTTTGGGGTTTGGTTGTTTTGTTTTGTTTTGTTTTGTTTTGTTTTGTTTTAGCTGTATATGATGTAGTGGAAGAAAAGCTTGAAAATGAACCAGATTTCCAGTATATTCCTGAAAAAGCTCCACTAGATAGTGTGCATCAGGATGACCATTCCCTGCGGGAGTCAATGATTCAGCTAGCTGAGGGGCTTATCACTGGAACAATCCTGACACAATTTGATGTAAGTAATATCATTATATATAAAAAGCATTTTGCTGATTTTTTTTCTAACTAGTTTCATGGTTTCTTAAGTACCTAACCTATGCATTATAATTTCTAAACGAAAATGATATTTTGAATAATGTTTGACATAAAGAGTTCCAAAATGCCAACTTTTAAAAATTGCTCCCAAAATACTAGCTATGGTTATATAAATAGAATATATATTTTTAAAAAGGGATAAGGAAATTTTATACATATGTCATCAAACTAAATTATTTTCTATAGTTAAATAGCTGTTTTTTTGAAAAGTGGCAGGTGAGGATAGGCTATTATAGACTTTAAAATCCTGAGCTAAAGGAAAATAACTTATTTTTTGAAGTTTATACCTTGTCATATTTAATCTTTGTTTATTTTTTGTCAGTGCAATCTTGAAAACGAAAAAAACAAAACTTTCAGACAGATCATTATATCCAGAGAACTAGAATGCTTCTTCAGTGCTTATAATATGCATTTTGACCCACGAGCACACAGTAGATTTTGAAATGTTTTATTCAGACTATATGAAATTAATTTGTTTAAATTAGTAAACCCGAATTTTTTGTTGTTGTTACTGTTTGTTTTTGAGAAGGGGGTCTCACTATGTTGCCTACGCTGATCTAGAACTCTTACATCCAAACAATCCTCCTGCCTCAGCCTCTTAAGTAGCTGGAATTACAGGCATGCACAGCCATGCTAGGCTTCCTGGATAGTTCTTAATGTGTTTTTAGACATGACCATCATTAATATTTTTTGCTCTGACATAGATGTTATAGGTAAGTATATAACTATAAAACATTTAGGATATATGTGTTAGTTTTTGTTCAAAAGTTCTTAGTTCATATACTGTAAACACTTCTAAACTAAATGAAAGTTAAATGTTTTCTGCAGATTTGCTACTCACAACTTCGGGTACTTCTGCTCTAAGCAGAATTGGTTTCACTGGTTTTTTTACCACTTTTCAAAATATGACACATAATTTATATCAGAAACTGAAGAATTCAGATTTGCAAATCTGGTTCAGTACTCTACTAGCTTATGGAATATCACTGTATAGATGAGCTAGTCAAAGGGGAAAAAAATCTGTTTCTTTTTAGTATAGAAACAAGTCTGGAAAACAAAACAAAAATTGTTTATGGCTTTTGTTGGAATGGTTCCCTTTTTTTTTTTTTTTTTTAGCAACTTTATCGGAAAAAACCTGGAATGACAATGTCTTGTGCCAAATTACCTCAGAATATTTCCAAAAATAGATACAGAGATATTTCTCCTTGTAAGTATCTTATTGTCTCTGTTAAATTTAATCTTTAAACATAACTTTGCTAAAACATTGTTTCTTTTAAATGTTTTAGATGATGCCACACGGGTCATTTTAAAAGGTAATGAAGACTACATCAATGCGAACTATATAAATGTAAGTTTATTTTTATTATGACTTTGCCATTTGGAATAATAGAAGCCACTGTGAACTTTGAGGTTATTTTCTTTTTGTTAAAATCCTAACCTGGATAGAATATTAAAACTTAAGATATTTTAAAATATTATCAAAGTAATATTAAAGAAAGAAAAGAAAGAACAGTGTTAAAGACAATATTTTGGTACTTGTATATTAATAGGTACAGCAGTGGAAATAGAATAGTCCCTTCCATAAGTAGACTTAGATAAATACTAGAATTTTGTTTGTGGTAGAGGTGGCCTTTTAAATCATTGGAGATAAAACAGACTATCCAATGAATGGGTGGTTGGGTCACCTGCTTAGAACAGCAGCCCTCAACCCCTGGGCATGGACTGGTAATCACCTATGGTCTGTTAGGAACTGGGCCATATGACAGTAGGTGAATGGTGGGCAAACATCATCGCCTGAACTCCATCTCCTGTCAGATCAGCGATGGCATTAGATTCTCATAGGACTGCAAACCCTATTGTGAACTGTACATGTGAGGAATCTAGGTTTCAAGCTCGTTATGAAACTCTAATGCCTGATGATCTGTGGTAGAACAGTTTCATCCTATAATCATCCCCATCTCTCACCCTTCCAACCCCCCTTCATGGAGAAATTGTCTTCCAAGAAACTGGCCCCTGGTGCCAAAAAGGTTGGGGACCACTGGTCTAGAATATGTCATTGTAAAGAGGCATTTTTTTTTCTTACTTGGAAAAAAATTACTATTTTTTTCTTAACTCTGTAATTAGAAAATTTCAAATGTACAGAATGAGAGCAAAAAGTAAAATGAACTTTCATATACATATCACTCAGTTTTAGCACTTGTCAACTCATGACAAATCTTGTTTCACCTTTACCAGGTTCTTTTGAAGCAGATCTTTATATCATATCATTCATCTATAAATATTTCACCTCTACTCACTCTTGATACCAACATATATTTCAAATATATCAAAATGTAATTTTTTAAATGGTATTATGAAATTACTTAAATATGTGAGAATTGTTTAAAATCTCTGGGAGGTTTGTTAAGCTTAGATACATGTCTAAGCTTAAAGAGATTGATGAATTTGACAAGATAAAATTTGTTATTTTTGGTATGCTTAAAAACTACTAAAATCAAATGACAAATGGAATTATTTAAATACTAGAAAAGGCTTATTTCTTTAATATACAAATAACTTCATAAAGGAATAAGAAAAATAAGCCTGGGCAACATAGTGAGACTCCATTTCTCGAATAAAAAATACAAAACCAATAATATTAGTGGACATGGTAGTGCATGTCTGTTGTCCCAGCTTCTCAGGAGGCTGGCTGAGGTGGGAGAATTGCTTGAGCCTGCAGTGAGCCATGATCACAGTAACTGTCACTGGATGACAGAACAAGACCCTGTCTCAAAAGAAAAGAAAAAAAAAGTCTTTCGGCTTTCGGCTCGGAGGAAGCCAAGGTACAACACTCTTCGGTCTTCCCGAATCTGGGTTCATCCGACACCAGCCTTCTCCACCATGCCGCCGAAGTTCGACCCCAACGAGATCAAAGTCGTATACCTGAGGTACGCTGGGGGTGAAGTCGGTGCCACTTCTGCGCTTGCCCCCAAGATCGGCCCCCTGGGTCTGTCTCCAAAAAAGGTTGGTGATGACATTGCCAAGGCAACGAACACCTGAGGATTACAGTGAAACTAACCATTCAGAACAGACAGGCCCAGATTGAGGTGCTGCCTTCTGCCTCTGCCCTGATCATCAAAGCCCTTAAGGAACCCCCAAGAGACAGAAAGAAACAGAAAAACATTAAACACAGTGGGAGTATCACTTTCGATGAGATTGTCAACATTGCTCGACAGATGCGACACCAATCTTTAGCCAGAGAACTCTCTGGAACCATTAAAGAGATCCTGAGGACTACCCAGCCTGTGGGCTGTAATGTTGATGGCTGCCACCTTCATGACATCGTAGATGACATCAACAGTGGTGCTGTGGAATGCCCAGCTAGTTAGGAAGCACAAAGGAAAATATTTCAATAAAGGTCAATTAACAACTGGTGGAATTTAAAAAAAAAGAAAAAAGAAAATTCAATGAAAATAGTGGATAAAGAACATGCAAAGACAATCCATAGAAGAGGAAATGATGCAGATGACATTTCTAATAGTCATTTTAAAATCTATACAAAAGTAGAGAGAATAGTATGAGTCCCTCCATACCTCTTACCTAGCTTCAAGAGCTATCAACCAGTGGCCAATCTTGTTTCAGCTAATAATCTCCAAATTATTTTTAAGCTCACATATATCACTGTATTTGTAAATAGAATTAATCCTCACCATTCAATGTTGTCATGCTCTAGAAAGTCTTTGTACATGCTAAATTAGTGAATATTTAATCATTGCTTCTAGGGAAAATACAGGGTTAAATTCCCCCGGCCTAAAGTCACAACATTTTCATCAACTGATTAATGCATAGTGTTGTTTCTGTTTAAAGACACTTTATTTGATATATATTCCTGATTCATTAACCTTGAACTCAGAGTCAACAACACTGTAACTCATGCCTCAAGGAAGCTTATCTAACACACATAGTTTCTCCATGAGGTATATCACATCCTTCTTGCACTTAGAAACACTAGTCAGCACTTTAAAACCACAGGTGGGGGCCATTTTTAAAGAGCAAAATCACCAGTAAAAAAATCAAAAAGGTGAAAAATATGGCACTACATAGAATGCAAAAAGGCTACTTGTTTACAGTATGAGAGCTAAAACAAAATGTCAGGTTGCTTCGTTTCATCTCACCTGGAAATGTGCATATCTTCAGCTGACTCAAATCTTTCACTGTTCTGAGAATGTCTACTAGATGACCAAGAAGGCCCTGCAACTGTTTTGAGGGTTATGAATAAATTTTAGCAAGTAGTCAAATTTGCAAATAGAGAATCCTTGATGGAGTATTAGCTGCTTAAGGATATAACTCTTCTAAGGGCTTTTATTTTGGTAGCAAAACCACAAAACTGTCATAACACTTAGAAAAATACTGACCGGGCGCGGTGGCTCACGCCTGTAATCCCAGCACTTTGGGAGGCCGAGGCGGGTGGATCACCAGGTCAAGAGATCGAGACCATCCTGGTCAACATGGTGAAACCCCGTCTCTACTAAAAATACAAAAATTAGCTGGGCATGGTAGCACGTGCCTGTAATCCCAGCTACTCAGGAAGCTGAGGCAGGAGAATTGCCTGCACCCAGGAGGCGGAGGTTGTGGTGAACCGAGATCGCGCCATTGCACTCCAGCCTGGGTAACAAGAGCGAAACTCTGTCTCAAAAAAAAAAAAAGAAAAAGAAAAAAGAAAGAAAAAAAAGAAAAATAATATCAAACAGTGTTAAATGAAAAATACATGCAATTTACAAAAAAGAAAACTGCAAATGAAAACTTCAAGGAATTACTATTTCACCTATGAGACTGAAAGAGCAAAAGTTTGGTAATACCTACATGTAGGTCCCCATTCTTTATGTGAAACCTTCAATTAAATATGCTTTGGGGCCAGGCGCAGTAGGAGCTCATGCCTGTAATCTTAGCACTTAAGAGAGGCGTAGGCTGGAGGACAGCTTTAGCCAAGGAGTTTGAGACCTGCCTAGGCAACATAGGAAGACCTCATTCTCCACATAAAGGGGCATTGAGTGGGAGAATATAGAAAAATATACTTTGGGATTCCAAATTTTTGGAATTTTGAAAGGTTATTTGGTACATATACCATATACTACCATAAGTAACATCACTGGCGATCTATGGTACATGTGCCCTGTAATCAATATGTCTGAATAGTTAACAGCAAACTATAATATATTCTCCCTAAGTAGGACTAATAAAGAGTACAAATAATCTTAGGTCAGTTCAGGTCAGATTTGCTGTCAAATGAGCACAGGTTGGGGCAAGATTACAAAAATAAAAAACATGCATTTCACAGCATTGGGAGTTTCAGAACTGTGGATGAGGAATTATGGATATATTAATGAGAGTATAGAGAATAAGCACTCTTCATACATTATTGGTGGAAGTATTTATTGGTAGAACCTCTTCAGAGAGCAACTTGGCATTGTCTATCAAAATTTTTAATGCACATACATTTTGATTTAGCATTGCCATTTCTTCCTGTTTTGAGGGTTATGAATAAATTTTAGCAAGTAGTCAAATTTGCAAATAGAGAATCTTTGATGGAGGATTTGCTACTTAAGAATATACCTCTGATAAGACCTTTTTTAAATAAGGCCTGTATTTTTTTATAAATAGAAATATATTTCTACATTGCACAAAAATGTTTGGTTTACAAAAATAATCAGTTTAGCCTTGTTAACTGCCAGCATATAGATTATCAAGGTCTTAAATCTGTATTAAATATTTTGTTGTATATTTATACAGTAGAGTTATTTAAAAGGGTAAAATTTTATGTACTAATCAAACATGATCTCAAAAATCAAGTAAAAAAGAGAAATAAGAAGCAGAACATTATACATAGTATGCTACCATTTTTTAAAAAGTTTTACAGAAAAGTGGGAAGTTAGTTTTGCATATACACTTGTGTATTGTGTGTAAAATGCCTCTGAGAAGGCTGTATGACCAACAGAGAAAAAAGTTACCTTCCTGGGTATAAACAAAAGTAGCTGAAATGGGAGAAAAGACTTTCTTTATTCACTCTTTGTTTTTCTTTGAATTATCATGTGCATATGTCACCTTTTTTAAAAAAAAATAATCTCAAGATGTAGTAGGATGACTGATGACTCATCTTTCCTAAATACTATCTTACCTCTTTCTAAAAATTATGAACTTAAAATGTACTTCTAATAACCGCTAAAGCTATTTTACATGTAAAAATTCAAGCTGAAACAAGTGGCAAAATTTTTGTTCTTCACAGATTTTACCAATAAACTATTTACAGATAAATATTTTGTATTTCTTTACCATGTCTCTGCCTCTGAAACAGAATTCTGTGTTAAGCTACTTTTAAAATCATAATAGGCTGGGTGTAGTTCACACTTGTAATCTCAGCACTTTGGGAGGCCAAGGCAAGAGGATCACTTGGGCCCAGAAAAATATTTGCAAAGTATTTAAATTCTTATTTCCACTAATTAAAAGATAAATATATATAACTATTGAACATCGCCATGAAATTTCTTCTACAAATAAGAAATTGATAAAGATTTGTTTTACTGATGGCAGTTTATTGAGATTAGTTATATTTACTATAATAGTCAGTGGATGATTCTCATATTCCTGATTACTGTAAAAAGTAATTCAAAACATTTTATTTTCATTCCCTTTTCTTTCTAGATGGAAATTCCTTCTTCCAGCATTATAAATCAGTACATCGCTTGTCAAGGGCCATTACCACACACTTGTACAGATTTTTGGCAGATGACTTGGGAACAAGGCTCCTCTATGGTTGTAATGTTGACCACACAAGTTGAACGTGGCAGAGTAAGTCATAGTTGAATCTTACACATTGCTTGGACTTTTTTCAAATTATATTGCACATATGCAGTCAAAGTACTCATGTTTATTTAAGCTTTTGTAACCGTTAATCTTCTTTTCTTGTGGTTTCCTATTTTAAATCATCATGGTTAAGTGCATAAAACTGACTAACACATAAATAGATGTGATATAAGTATTAACCACTACTGTCATTGTTATTATTTAAATGGATTAATATACATCTGTTAAGGGACTTGTATCTAAAGTATGTACAGAGCTCTTTACAACTCAACAGTAAAATTATAAATAATGGAATTTAAAAATGGGCAATGAATCTTAATAGTTCTCCAAAGAGGATATACAAATCGCTAAGAAGCACAAGAAAAGATGCTTAACATCATTATCATCAGGGAGATGCAGATCAAAACCTTAATGAGACTTTATATTCACAAGGATGGCTAAAATAAAAAGGACCAATAAAAAGTGCTAGGGATGACACGGAAAAAACAGAACCCTCCTACACTGCTGGGGGGTTTATAAAATCATTTTGGAAAACAGTCTTGTAGTTCCTCAAAAAGTTAAACGTTGAGTTGGCATAACTGATTAATTTCATTCCTAAATCCAAAAGAGTTAAAAAGGTCTGTCCACACAAAAATTTGTACATGAGCATTCATAGCAGCAGCATTTATAATAGCCAAAATGTAGAAACAACTCAAATATACGAAATAAAATGTGGTATAGTCTTAAGGTTGGATATTATTTAGCAATAAAAAGGAATGAAGTAGTGATACATACTACAGCATGGGTAAACTGGAAAATACTTAGCATAGTGAAAGAGGTCAAAAAGATCACATATTGAGTGATTCCATTTTTATGAAATGTCCAGGATAGGCAACTTTGTAGGGACGTAAAGTAGATTAGTAGTGGTCTAGATCTGAGGTGAGATAAGGGGAACGGATGAGGGAGTATGAACAGTAACTACTAATTGGTATAGGGTTTATTTTGGGTGTAATGGGAATGTTCTAAAAGTAGTTGTGGTGGTGTTTGCACAGTTCTGTGAATATACTAAAAACTATTGTATACAATAAATGAGTGAGTGGTATGGTATATGAATTATGTCATTACAGCTGTTTTAAAAAATGTTAAGATTTAATGAGGATATTTGCAGTCTCAAAATACAGCCAGAATACTTACTATTAAAAAGGGAAAAAAGTGACAACGAAAAAATGTCAGCTGGGCACAGTGCCTCATGCCTGTAATCCCAGTGCTTTGGGAGGCTGAGGCGGGCAGATCACCTGAGGTCACAAGTTCGAGACCAGCCTGACCAATATGGTGAAACCTCGTCCCTACTAAAAATACAAAATTAGCTGGGTGTGGTCTCACATACCTGTAATCCCAGCTACTTGGGAGGCTGAGGGAGGAGAATCACTTAAAACCAGGAGGTGGAGGTTGCAGTGAGCCAAGATTGTGCTATTGCACTGCAGCCTGGGCAAAAAGAGTGAAACTCCATCTCAAAAAAAAAGGAAGAGAAAAACACAAGTTGGCAGATCTAGATGAAGTTCATTAAATTATTCTTACAACTTTTCCATAAGTTTGAAATGTATTAAAAACTAAAACATTTTTAAACATTGGAGAGCTTGAATCCATATGCATATTATTTTATTTATTGTTTATTTATTTGTATCAATATTAGGTTAAATGTCACCAATATTGGCCAGAACCCACAGGCAGTTCATCTTATGGATGCTACCAAGTTACCTGCCACTCTGAAGAAGGAAACACTGCCTATATCTTCAGAAAGATGACACTATTTAACCAAGAGGTAAGAGGGCAGGATATCTGTTTATTAGAACTGTTGTGTTCAAAGCAAAGACTCAAAGTTGAAAATGTATTTAGTTTGAATACTGGTTACTAGGAAATACTATAAAAATTATTGAATTATTTATCTGCTTTAATTGGGGTACTTTGGAATTTCATTAAGAGTATTACCCTATTCTATTATATAATTGTTGTTCTCCAGTTTCTATGACTAAATATGAATGGTCAGTGAAAAAGGAATGTGGTAAATAATATTTATTACTCTTACTACTTTGCCTATTCAGAACAACTATTTAAATATTTTTGGTTATAAAAAAATCTTTGACTCCAAGTAATATCAGTACAGTATTTGGGTATGTCTGTGGAAATGGAAAAAAAAATTGAAAGCTATGAAATTTTTTTTTTTTCTTAAAAGAGTAGAAGAGAGCAACTTCACAGTCCCCTTAAGAAGGAAAAGATTGTAACCAGGACCTTCTGAGAGCAGATGGGGTATAGATTTCTAATTTCCAGCTCTTAATTCTGCCTGGGTCAGTCCCCTTGGCTTTGATTGAAACTGATTAATAAATGATGGCTCAGTATCCCAACTAGAAGATGTATATAGAGAGCATCATGCTGCCAGTTCTGTCAGGCTGCTAGAGACAGTACACCCTACTTTCACTGCCTGCAGCTAGATACCCCCTGCCAACCACCTTTGGTTTTAAAAGGGACTACAGGAAGGAAGTAACTGCTGGAGAAGAGCAAACAGCACAAGCTATGAGTGCCCAGGACTATCCCATCAGTGGTCAAGCCTTTGGAAATGGGAACACCCCTCCAACCCCAAGAGCATGATTAAAGGAAACCAGAGAGACAGAGCCTTACTGACTAAAAGGGAAGAAACCAGAAGTTGTGCTAATTTATAGAAAATGAATCTAGCATTGAATGAAGCTAAATTACAAGAATTTTAAAATTTCAAGATTTTATGGGCTAGATACATCAGAATGAATTTAGGGTTTGGGGACACATACTATGTAGTTCATGGTCTAATATAACAGGTCAACCCAATAAGATATTTCTTCATTTTCTCAAATAAATGATAATGGCTATGTATGTATAAATAAAATAATGTCTATCTTTAGCATAGTCTCTATTATACTCCACCTGTAGATTATCCATGACAGTTTTTTATACCATAGTGACTTTTCTTTACATACCCTGAGTACATCAGAACTAAGACATGAGTTTGTTTCTAAAGTTTGAGCCAAACATAATTGGGAAAATAAGTTTGCTTCCATAAAGAAATACATACATGGATGGATCAGTGATAGCAGATACTACCTCAAGTCTTGAATACATTTTACTTTTACTTTTCAGGAAGCTCTCTTTAGTATAAATGGCAATAACCATAGTTATAATCATAGTGTTGAATGACTGTAACAACCAGTTATTGAGTATATGGTGCCAAGTAGCTGACTGGGTGATTTACAGGTCCTCTCATGGAGACTTTTTAGCATAAGACTGTTTCTTAAAAGTATAGATGTTGTTTCATTTTTCAGTTGAAGGAAATTAGGTTCTGAAACATTGAATGCCATAACTGGCAGAGTCAAGATTTGAATCAAGATGTATCTAAATCCAGCACTCTTACTGTCTCCATTATACCAGCCATTGGCTCTCCAAAAAGAATTAATCCCACTGATTTGACTTTGTGTTTTTATTGTCTCCAGTTTTTAATACACATTTATCTTGAGTTTTTATTTTTCTGATTTCCATAATTTCATCTGCATTGTATGAGGATTAGTTCAGCTTTCTTCACAAAAAAATATTCTTTACCATTTTTGCTCGCCCAAGAATTCCTTAGTTTTCTTTAAGTGTTTATCTGGGTCTTAGTTTGTTTCTACCTATTTACTTGAGTATCATCTTAAAAGTACTTTACACATACAGAAATTGAGTTATAAAAAGAATGGTAATGTAATTAGCCAATACTTAAATGGATACAACTATTTCTATAAAGGTTTCTTTCCTGTGTTGAAATTTTTCATTCTAATGAGTTTATACATAACTTTTGGTGAAGGAGTGGTTGGTTTTGCTTTTCTTTTAAAATTCAAATGACACAAATATATCTTAAAGATAATGTCATAGTACCAACAGTTTCGTATTCCTGCTATGCAGTAACAGACCAATAAACTGAGACAGCAGGGATACAGCAGATAAAAAGTTTAATGATCACAGCGGAGCAAGGAGATGGGAGGAGACCTACAAATCATCTCCCCAAGGAGATAAGATCTGTGATGGGGTTTTAAAGGGGATTGTGGAGAACAAGGGTCTGGGAAATTAAAGTCGTTGATTGATTGGGATAAGGTGGATGAATTATCAGGAGGTGGAAACTACATTTTTTGGTGAGTTAGCTTATCTCAGGGTCCTTTAGACCAACTGAGTAAGTAGTTTCATTAGTGTGCAGGACCCAAAAGAATGTCTCAAAGGGGAAATTTAACATCTTATAATATCCCAAGTTGTTATCTGTAGAGCAGTAAGGGGAACTGTAATCTTGTAAGGGTCTATGGAATTCTGAGGCAAACAGGCACCAAACAACTATGAGGAAGCAGGTCAGAGAGCAGCTGACCTACTGATCAATGCTAACTGTGCTGGAAGCTGAGTTTAGTTTTCTGTCTCCCCCTCTCTTCTTTCGTGGTTAATTTTATGAGGTTTATAGGGACAGTTTTAATAATACCAAAGTTAAGGTACATAATTTTTCATTTGCTCTTAGAAAAATGAAAGTCGTCCACTGACTCAGATCCAGTACATAGCCTGGCCCGACCATGGAGTCCCTGATGATTCGAGCGACTTTCTGGATTTTGTTTGTCATGTACGAAAGAAGAGGGCTGGCAGGGAAGAACCCGTTGTTGTCCATTGCAGGTATTCTGTTTTCTGTCTTTTATGAATGTATAGCTGAACAGATATGTCATTTTTAAGAGAGAGTACATACTTTGTCCTTTATGTTGTTATTGTCACTGTGATAATTAGAGCTCAAAGGCATGCTCTGAAGGTAGAATGCAAATGATATGTTCTAACATATGATTGGCAGTGACTTTATAATAAGACATGAAAATAATACTGATTGCACTGATTTTTAGATGCTCCTCCTTTTCATATTTTGACACCTCTGAAATTCATCTTAATTTATGATAGGTTTGATGAAATACAGAATTGTGGGCTGTCTTAGTCCATTTGTGCTGCTGTAACAAAATATTTGAGACTGGGTAATTTAAAAGGAACAAAAATGTATTTATACTTCTGAAGGCTGGTATGTTCAAGATCAAGGTACACACAGGTTCTAATGAGAGTCTCAAGAGGGCTGCTGTCTGCTTCCATTATGGCACTTTGTTGTGTCATTCTCTGGACAGGACGAATGCTGTTTCCTCATATGCTATGGGACAGAAGGGGTGAACTCACTCTCTAAAGTCCTTTTATAAGGGCCCTAATCCCATCCATGGGGGAACCTGCCCTCATGACTTAATCACCTCCTAAAGGTCCTACCTTTTCTTTTTTCTTTTTTTTTTTGAGTTGGAGTCTCACACTGTCATACAGGCTAGAGTACAATGGCATTATCATGGCTCACTGTAATCCCTGCCTCCCAGGCTCAAGTGATCCTCCTGCCTCAGCCACACGAGTAGCTGGAGGTACAGGTGCACCAACACACCTGGCTAATTTTTGTATTTTTTTTGTAGAGTTGGGTTTTTGCCATGTTGCCCACGTTGGTCTCCACCTCCCGCGCTCAAGGGGTCCACCTGCCTCAACCTCCCAAAGTGCTGGGATTATAGGCATGAGCTACCACACCTCACTGTTCTGCCTCTTAATATTATCACATTGGTGATTAAGTTTCAACATGGGAATTTTAGGGGACTCATTCAGACAGTGGCATAGACATTAGGTTACAGCCTAATATGTAGATTCTCTTCCTCCTTTCTTGCCTGTGGCTCCTCTTAGGACATTCATTGAGTACTCCTACCTCTCTTGGAGTGGCCCTACCAAAGGATATGCTACTTCTAAAAGCTTTAAGTAAACAGTAGGTACTTTATTCCTTTGAGACCAGGTCCCCTTCTGCCTACCCTCAAAGGGCCGAAAATGTTGATTCCAGCCTTTACTGCTACTGACCCAGAGATTGGGACATAGAAGTTTTTCCCTCCCTATTATGGCCACCTTTATTAAGTAATTTATTCAGAGGATATATTGAGATATCTCTTTATTCTTAAACTTTATAGCACATTTTAAAAGTAGACTTTCAAATCATCAAAAACGGATTATAGACCAAAATTTGAGAGGCAAAGTAGCAAGAACAGTGAAACACATTTGGCCATTTTACATCCCAAGTTCCTGATAACTACTGCATTTATGTTCACAGATTAGAAGTTAAAAAGTTGTTCTTGGCTCAGTGGTAAAGTTTAATTTAAATTTTATTTTAAAATGAGGCCGAGAGCAGTGGCTCATGCCTACAATGCAGCACTTTGGAAGGCTGAGGTGGGCAGATCACCTGAGGTCAGGAGGTTGAGACCAGCCTGGCCAACATGGCGAAACTCTGTCTCTATTAAAAATACAAAAATATTAGCTGGGCGTGGGAGCGCATGTTTGTAATCCCAGCTACTCGAGAGGCTGAGACAGGAGAATCACTTGAGCCCAGGAGTGAGCTGAGATGGCACCATTGCACTCCAAACTGGGTGACAGAGCGAGACTTCATCTCAAAAAAAAAAAGGTGTATTTTATATTGAGTATAAAATATTGTCTTTTGTGCATTCATTTATTATTGTCGTTCTATCATTTTGCATTTTAAAGTGGAGTTACTTCAGTAAGCTTCTATTCCCTGTTCAGATTTTAAAAACTGAAATTTAACTCTTTTAAAATAGTCTCTTTGGAACTAATGTAGTAGATGGAAGATACAGAATATTTAATTGCTATTAGAGGAGTCAGTACTTTTTTTTCTGTTTTCAAAATATTCTGTATTTGGCTTGCTACTTTTATAATATAAAACATTAAAGTGATGCTGTTCTTCTGTATTATAATTCAGTTTTATGCACAAAAGCTGCAAGTAGTTGAACAGAATAGTATCAGTAAGACCTTGCCTGTATTTGTCCTTTTTAGTGCTGGAATTGGAAGAACTGGGGTTCTTATCACTATGGAAACAGCCATGTGTCTCATTGAATGCAATCAGCCAGTTTATCCACTAGATATTGTAAGAACAATGAGAGATCAACGAGCCATGATGATCCAAACACCTGTGAGTACTGTACTTCATATACAAGTGTATATTCTTTACATGATGATTTTTGTTGCCGATATGTATTCTAAATTATATTTTTATCCTTTTTTATCTTTTCAATTACTTGCCATGGTCAAATAACCTCTAGCACAGGGGTAAGCAAACTACTGCCCACTAGCCAGATCTGGCCTGCCACTTGTTTTTGTAAATAAAATTTTAGGGGAACTAAATGAACTATGCTCATTTGTCTATGCCTGCTTTCATACTACAACTGCAGAGTCCGAAGTTGGAACAGTACCATATCACCTGCTATTTCTAAAATATTTAATATCTGACCTTTCACAGAAAAAGTTTTGTCAACATGCAAGTTGCCTGGCATATTAAACCTTGAGTGCTTAAACAGGTACAGAGGAACTTGCTCTGTACTATTTAGTTGAGTTGAATGCTGAGAATGATAGTATCCCTGAACTGGAGAATCTTGATAGACCTGCTCTCTGTGAAATAGCTGTGGTGAAATTGGTTTTTTTTTCTTTCTTGGAAATATGGAACACTTCACGAATTTTTGTGTAATCCTTGCACAGGGGCCATGCTAATCTTCTCTGTATCATTCCAAGTTTAGTATATGTGCTGCTGAAGCGAGCACTTTTTTTTGAGATAGAGTTTTGCTCTTGTTGCCAAGGCCGGGATGCAATGGTGTGATCTTGGCTCACTGCAACCTCTGCCTCCTGGGTTTAAGTAATTCTCCTGCCTCAGCCTTCCAAGTAGCTGGGATTATAGTCTCGTGCCACCACACCCAGCTAATTTTGTATTTTTGTAGAGATGGGGTTTCATCATGCTGGTCAGGCTGGTCTCGAACTCCTGACCTTAGGTGATCAACCCACCTCGGCCTCCCAAAATGCTGGGATTACAGGTATGAGCCACTGCGCCCAGCTGTTTCTCTTTTTACATAGGTACTTATATTGAAAGAACAAAAATTACAGAAATTAAGGTGCTTTTTAGTGTATTCTACAATGAGTATTAATTATGCTTCAGGAGCCAAAAGAGGAATCATGGAATTTTGGTGTTAAAGTTATCTTTTGTACTGATTGTGAAATAATAGCATTGTTGGTGGAATAGGTTACCTGAAGGAAATTGACCTATGTGATCCAGTAAGTGCCTGTCATTTTTTGTTGTTGTTTTGTGAGACAGAGTCTCACTCTGTTGCCCAGGCTGGCATGCAGTGGTATGAGCATAACTCACTGCTGCTTCAGCCTCCCAAGCTTAAGCAAGCCTCCCGCCTCAGCTGGGACTACTGGCATAAGCCACCATAGCTCGCTAATTTTTTTATTTTTTGTAGAGAGGGGATCTCACTGTGTTGCTTAGGCTGGTCTTGAGCTCCTGGGTTCAAGCAATCCTGTCACCTCAGCCTCCCAAAGTGTTGGGATTACAGACATGAGCCACCATGTCCAGCCTGGTTTTTAATTATAGAAAATTTCAAACAGACAAAAATAGACAATAGGATATAATGAATATCATGTTAGGCTCCATTTGCCATATTGTTTCATCTGTATAGCTGTTCACTTTCCCTGTATTTCAAGCAAATCTTAGACATTTATCATTTTGTTCATAATATTTTAGTATGTATCTCTAAAAGATAAGGATTGATTTTTTCCTTGTAAATAAAACCACAGTACCATTATCATACTGAAATGTAATCAGTTTCTTAATATTATCAAATTTTTTAAAACATCTTCATCCTCCCAAAAAGAAACCCCATACTCATTAACAGTTACTCTCATTTGCCCTCATACCCTCCCTAACCTCCTCCAACCTAGGCAACCACCAATCTACTTTCTCTCTCCATAGATTTGCCTATTCTGGGTGTTTTATATGAATGGAATCATACAGTTTGGTCTTTTCTAACTGACTTCTTTTAAGTAGCATATTTAAAAAGGAATGAAGTATGGATACATATGTACTGCAGTATGTATCAGTTCTTTATTCCTTTTTATTGTTCAATAATACTTCATTGTATAGATTTTTACCACATTTTGTTCATGCATTAATCTGTTGATGGACATTCATTTGGTTTGTTTCCACTTTTTGGCTGTTATGAATAATACATTTTCATTTCTCTTGCGCATACCCAGGAGTGGAATTGCCAGGTTATGTTTTCATTCTATTTAACCTTTTAAGGAACTGCCAGATATTTCCAAAATGTCTGTATCATTTTGCAGTTCATCTAGCAGTGTATGAGGATTTTGTTCTTCACATCATCATCAATACATGTTACTGTCTTTTTAATTTTAGCCATCCTGCTGGCTGTGAGGTAGTATCTCATTGTGAATTTGTTGTGCATTTCCTTGATAACCACTTGTATTAGTCTCTTCTTATATTGCTATAAATAAACATCCAAGACTGGGTAATTTATAAGGCAAAGAGACTTAATTGACTCACAGTTCCCCAGGCTGTACAGGAAGCATGGCCGGGAGGCCTCAGGAAACTTACAGTCATGGTGGAAGACAGGGGAAGAAAGGACGTCTTCAGTGTTCACATGGCCGACAGGAGAGAGACAGAGAGAGAGAGGCGGGAGGTGCTGCATACTTTCAAACAACTGGGTCTTGTAGAGAACTGTCACGAGGACAGCAAAGGGGAGGTCGGCCCCAATTATTCAGTCACCTCCCACCAGGCCCCTCCTCCTACACTGGGAATTATTATTTGACATGAGATTTGGGTGAGGACACACAGCCAAACCATATCACTAAAGATGTTAAGCATCTTTTCATGTGATAATTAGCTATTTATTTGTATATATATTTTTGGAGAACTTTTCAAATCTTTTGCCTGTTTTTGAATTTGGCTGTCATTTTTATTATTGAGTTGTAAGTATTTTTTTATATTTTCTTGATAAAAGTTTCTGATCAGATCTGTGGTTTACAAATATTTGCTTCCATTTTCTCTTTTTGTTTTCTTGATTATAGTAGTTGATGCACAGAAGTTTTGAATTTAGTGAAGTCCCATTTGTTTTTCCTTTATCACTTATGCATTTGGTATCATAGATGAGAAATTATTACCTAACCCAGGGCCACAATGATTCTATGAGTTTTATCATTTTAGCTCTCACATTTAGGACTGATCTATTTTGAGTTAACACACGTTATTGTGTGTGGTTTGAGGTCGGGTTCCAACTGCACTCTTTTGCATGTGATTACTCCGTTGTCCCAGCACATTTGTTAAAAGGACTGTTATTTCCCCCTTGAATTATCTCAGGGGTCTTGTGAAAAATCAGTTGACCACAAATATAAGGGTTTATTTCTAGACTTTTAATTCTGTTCCATTGATCTGTATCTCACTATCATGATTACTGTAGCTTTGTTGTAAAATTTTAAATCAGAAAATGTAAATCTCTAACTTTTTCATTTTCCAGATTAATTTAGCTATTCCGTGTCCCTTGCATTTTCATATTAATTTTGAATAAGTTTATTCTTTCTGAAAAAAGTTTTTAAAAAATGACAACCAGAATGGTCATAGGGATTGGGTTAAATCTCTAGAACAAATTAGGAAGTACATCTTGCAAAGCATGAACACAGATGGTCTTTCCGTTTATTTAGATATTCTTTAATTTTAATTGTAATTTTCAGCTTGCAAGTCTTGCTTTTTTTGTTTGTTTTTGTTTTTGTTTCTTGGTTTTTTTTTAATTGTTTGTTTGTTTGTTTGTTTGTTTGTTTGTTTGAGACACAGTCTTGCTCTGTCACCCAGGCTGGAATGCAGTGGTGCAATCTCAGCTCACTGCAAACTACACCTCCTAGGTTCAAGCAAGCCTCCCAAGTAGCTGGGACTACAGGCACATGCCGCCACATCTGGCTAATTTTTTGTATTTTTAGTAGATATGGGTTTCACCATTTTAGCCAGGATGGTCTCAATCTCCTCACCTCATGATCCACCCACCTTGGCCTCTCAAAGTGCTGGGATTGCTTTTATTTAAACTTATTCCTCGGTATTTTGGTATGTTTTGGTGCTATTGTAAATGGAATTGTTTACTTAATTTCATTTTGGGACCGTTCATTCCTAGGCCATAAAAATGCCGCTGACTTTGCATATTAATCATGTATTTCACAACCTTGCTGAAGTCATTTATTAACCAATAGTTTTGTGTGTGAGAGAGTGACTTTCTTAGGATTTTCTGTTTACAAGATCGTATCATTTGCAAATAGAGATAAGTTACTTTTTCCAATCTAGATGCCTCTTTCCTTTTTCTTTGTTTTTCTTGCATAAGTATCCTGGATCCTCCAGTACAATGTTGAATAGAAGTGATGAGACCAGAACACTTGTCTTCTTCCTAATCTTAGGGGGAAAGTTTTTAGATTTTTATGAATGATCATATTAGCCATGAGTTGTTCATAAATGCCCTGTATCAAGTTGAAGAAGATCCCTCTGTTACTTGTTCATTGAGTGTTTGCATCCTGAAAGTGTGTTTAGTTTTGTTAAGTGCTTTTCCTGCGTCTGAGATACCATGTGGTTTTTGGTCTTTTATTCTATTAAGGTGGTATATTACATTGATTTTCAGATGTTAAATTGACCTTGCATTCCTGAGATAAATCTCACTTGGACATAGTGTGTAATGCTTTGTATATGTTGTTTGATTTGGTTTGCTAGTATTTTCTTGAGGTTTTATATCTTTATTATTATATACTAGGATTTTTAAAAAGATTTTAATTATGGTAAAGTACACGTAACATAAAATTTACCAACTTAACCATTTTTAAGTATACAGTTTAGTAGTGTTAAGTATACTTAACATTGTTTTGCAACTCATTTTCAATTTCTTGTGAATCAAAACTCTATACCCATTGAACAATTCCCCGTTTTCTCCTCCCCTCAGTCCTTGGTAACCACCATTCTACTTACTGTTTTCATGAGTTTGACTACCCTAGATGCTTCACGTATGTAAACTTGTATTTGTCTTTTTCTGACTGGCTTTTTTCACTTAGATTAATGACCTCAAGATTCATCCATGTTGTAATATAAGTCAGAATTTCCTTCATTTCTAAGGGTAAACATACCACATTTTCTTCATTCATTTGTCTGTCACTGGACAGGGTTGCTTTTGCCCTTTGCCTATTGTGAATAATGCTGCTAAGATCATGGATATATAAGATCTCTTTGAGACCCTGCTTTCATTTCTTTCAGGTATATATCAGAAGACGAATTCCTGGATCATAGCACACATGGGCTTTTGGTTTTTGTTTAAAATCAGACTTCAGATATAGTCTGCACATTTTGATTGGTTTATATGTCTCTTAAATCTCTCTTTTTTTTTTTTTTTTTTTGAGACGGAGTTTCGCTCTTGTTACCCAGGCTGGAGTGCAATGGCGCGATCTCGGCTCACCGCAACCTCTGCCTCCTGGGTTCAGGCAATTCTCCTGCCTCAGCTTCCTGAGTAGCTGGGATTACAGGCATGCGCCACCATGCCCAGCTAATTTCTTGTATTTTAGTAGAGACGGGGTTTCACCATGTTGACTCAGATGGTCTCGATCTCTTGACCTCGTGATCCACCCGCCTCGGCCTCCCAAAGTGCTGGGATTACAGGCTTGAGCCACCGCGCCCGGCCTAAATCTCTTTTAATTGAAAGTTTCCTCCTTCATTTCTTGTCTTTTTTTTTTTTTTTGTAATTTATTTGATAAACAAATCAGATTATTTGCACTGTATTTCTGACAGTGTGGATTTTGCCAGTTTACATCCCCAAGGTGGTGGCTCTGTGTTTTCTAAAAGTGGTACATATACGGCTAAAGCAGCTTAAGTCATATATTCTTTCTTCAAAAGCACATAATGTCTTTCCTTTTGTGAAGTTAGCACCCTCAATTTATTGGATCTGCAAAATAATGATATTCTAATTCTATCATTCTGTCTTTATTAGCTGGACTGCTTTTTTAAAGAGAAACATCATATCTACTATTTGGTTAACAACTAGTGTAGCTTGTGTAGAAAAGGCAAGAAAAACATTCGATTTCTTTCCCTTTATCTACAGGTTTTCAATATAATAAATCATTTCCTAGCTTCCACCAAGGGTGATGACTTAACTTTTGTTTGGTTGTTGTTTTGAAATCAAGGATTTAAACATAATTAATGTGTTTCAACCCACTGTACTTTTTTTTTTTTAGTAATATCCAAATTGTCCTATTTTTGGCCAGTGGGAGCCTATTCATAGTGGCTTCTGAGTCCTTTTGTCAAGACCCTGGTAACTTTGATAGCTTTGTTACTATCAGAAAAGGCCTACCTTGTACATCTCATGCCCCTGATTTAGAATCAGTAGTTTCTCCAAGAAGCCTGGTTCTTTTTATTGAGAAACTATTTTAGGCACCAGCCTCTGGGCTTTAAGGACTTTTATTTGCTTGGGTTAATTTTTGTCTCTAAAAATGTCAAATTGCTAAAACCAGGAGAATACATTTATCATAGGTTAATATTGATGCTTTCAATACAAATTTAGTACCACAGTGTTTTTACTTAGCCTTTTTTACATCATCATCTGCTTTCTTCTTTAACAAGAATACTTGTTCTCTACAATATTATTGGCAATGAAAGATTTAGAATATCACAAATACTCCACATTACACAACTGTTTCAGAATAATAACTCTACTACCATAAACAGTATGGCTAATGAAAAGAGTTTTACCTTTTTCCCCCCACAGGTCTTATTGCCCTTTGAATATATTCTCCCACAGACATGTAGTCAGATTACTGGGGGTTTTGTTTGTTTGCAGTATTTTTGAGACAGAGTCTTGCTCTGTTGCCAGGCTGGTATGCAGTAGTGTGATCACCACGCATCGCAGCATCAACCTCCTTGGCTCAAATGTTCCACCCATCTCCACTTCCCAAGCATCTTAGGCCTACAGGCACACGCCACAGCACCCAGCTAATTTTTCTTTTCCTTTTTTTTTTGGAGACACAGGGTCTTGCTATGTTGCCCATGCTCATCTTGAATTCCTGGCCACAAGTGATGCTCCTACCTTGGCCTACAAAAATGCTGGCATTACAGGCACGAGCCACTCTGGCCAGCCAAATTGCTGTTTTAAAGTCTCTTCAGGGCAGGGCACGGTGGCGCACACCTTAATCCCAGCACTTTGGGAGGCTGAGGCAGGTAGATCACCTGATGACAGGAGTTCAAGACCAGCCTGGCCAACATGTTGAAACCCTGTCTCTACAAAAGTACAAAACTTAGCTGGGCATGATGGTGGATACTGTAATACCACCTATTCAGGAGGCTGGGGCAGGAGAATCACTTGAATCTGAGAGGAAGAGGTTGCAATGAGCCAAGATTGAGCCATTGCACTCTAGCCTGGGCAACAGAGCAAGACTCTGTCTCAAAAAAAAAAAAGTTCTTTCAAACAGCTCTCCTCTATATGGTTGTCATCAACTAGATACTACACATATTGATTAGTTTCATGATATTTTCAATTCTTAGGGATTTTAAAATTTTGTAATTATGTGCTATATTTACATTATTCCAAAGTATAAATCTAAAAAGAAGGAAGGTATATTTAATGAAGTCTAGTCTCTGTCCCTCTCCTGCTTGCTTTTCTCTCCATCCCTTTATAGGAAACTTTTTAAATAATTTATTCTTCTATTGATTTTTTTTAACATACACTGAAATAGATATTTGTGTTTTCCTCCCTTTCCTTTATCAAGGTAATGTAATATATATACTCTACCTATCTTCCTTTTTTTACTTAATAAAATATCCTGTGATCATTCATTCTCTAGTAGTTTGTAGACTTTTGTCCATTTTCTTCCCCACTAACTAGTATTCCATTGTGAGAATGTACAGTAGTCACCTGGTCCCTATTGATGGCAATTCAATTGTTTCCACTTTTTCTGTTATAAATAAGTAGACAGTGAGTAGTCTCATTTTGTGAATATGTGTTTTCAATTGCTGTTTTGAATAGATTCTTAGAAGTGAGATTGCTAGGTTAAGAGGTAAATTAAGTTAATTTTGTCGTATGCTGCCAAATTCCCCTTTATAGGGGCTGCAGTATTTTAACATCCCTACCAACAACATACAAGTTTTGCCGACAAAACATATTGCCCAACTTTATTTTTTTTAACCAGTCTTTTGGTGAAAAATGGTATCTTTATGCAGTTTTACTTTGCATTTTTCAGATAAGCAAGCCAAGTGATGTTTGTCTGGTTTTTTTTTTTTTTTTTTTTTTTTTTTTTTTGGTGGGGCGGGGGCACAGTTTTCTGACTTTTCTGATCAATTCTGTTTTTTATATTTTATTTTTCAGAGTCAATACAGATTTGTATGTGAAGCTATTTTGAAAGTTTATGAAGAAGGCTTTGTTAAACCCTTAACATCATCATCAAATAAATAAGAAAGCAAAAAGATCTGGGATATGTGTTGGAAAACTGCTTTCTCTTATGTTCACTGTGCCATAATACTGCTCGCAGAAAATGGCATTTTACAAAAAAAAAAAAAAAAATGAAGAACTCAAAAAAACTTGGAAAACTTCAGCACTGTTGCACTTTATGTTTTAAAAAATGTCACTCTTTCAAAATCTATAACTCATGTATTTGAAGACTATTTCATGCTTTGCTCCGAACAAGTAGTAAATAACTAAGTATGTTCAGGGTAATTTATGAAATTTTGTGGTGGTGCCATGCAATCCCCTTTTGGTAGAATTGCCACAAACAAGGCTCAAAATTCTCATCATCTCTGTTATACACCTGTATCATGAAAGCAAAAAGAAGTAAACATCAGGAGTCAGCTCTGGTCTTTTGCAGTGATTTGCGTACTTACTATACTGATTACCAGATTTTATTTTTAAAATTTTAGCAATATCATTCTTAATATTAGCCAATACACTGCCTATGGATGCAGCACATTTTTCCCTGCACACCCCATGTAGAGACCTGCCTGCTGCTCAGAAGAAGAAAGGTGGAATTTGCTGTTCCCAGGAAATGCTGCACATTGTCCATTTACCAGCATCTTATAGAAAACAAAAATATGAATCTACAGATTCTCTTGGATTTAATAATATAACTTATATTTATCATAAGGTTGGCTTATTCCAAATCATGTGATTTCAGATACTTGATGTAAAGGAATGCATGCGTTGTGTCTTAACCCCTTAAGTGCCTTGAGACATCCTTGTATGTCTAACGAAAAGGCACTCATTTGACCCCACTAGGAGGTATATATGTATATTGTACATTCTTATATTTTTATGCATTTCGAGTAAGTTCACATTTTAAAAAACAGCTTATATTGAGTGTTATACAGTCAAAGAAGGGTAAGGAAGTTCTGTTTCTTACTCAGTACTTGTGATTTGCTGTAAGAAGCAAAGATAATTTGTGTTATACTGAGTGCACACTCTGCTGCTATGGAATTATTTAAAATCTGCACATTCCTTTACTTGAGGGACTGAGGGGTTACAGTTTAACAGCTCAACTTTAAAAGATACTTTATGCTTCAAATTTCATATTTATTTCATCCCTAACTTTAGGAAGACATCTAACATGCACATTAATGTTAAACATATTGATACTCTAAGCAGATAATTGTGATGTATTCATATCCATAACTGAAATATTATTCTTTAGCACTCATTTCAGTTAATATCAAACTTTGTTCACATTGATCTATTGATTGGGAGTCTTCAAACAAAGAATGAAGTATTATTGACTTATTTCTAGGTGTAATCACTCAATAACTAAAATGAGAGTTTTATTGTCTTTTTTTGTACAATTATTCCATTTTATGTATACTTATTAAGTTACAAGCATGTTAATAAGGAGACTTTTGATTGTCCAGCCTAATAGAGGATCTGATTCCCATTAGGTATGTGGGAATTCCCATATTTTCCTCTTCAGGTTTATTTAAGCCTACAGAGAGATAGAACTTTAAAATTGCCCACTTTGATAAAAGTGAAAAATTTGTTCAGCTATTCAAATGTTATTTTACACAATTATTTTAAGTGGATTGCAATTTTAAAAGATTGAGTTAAAACTGAAAGCAGTTTCTAAATATTTCTGTAAGGTCTTCATAATGATTAGAGTCAGATGGTAGATATTTTGGAAAGTCATCTAGTAGGAGGGGAAAAGTATACATTTTAAATCTGCAACGTAATCTAAATGATGTCATTTCAAATATTCAAAACTCATAATAATAAATTTCAGGAAATTAAGCTCCTAAACATTAATAGCCAAGATACCAAATAAATTATCATAGTAAAATATTTAAGTTTATTTAAAGAGAGAAGTAAACATAACCTTTATGTCAAAGAGAAATTCTCTTATCTATTTCCTGACTTCACAGTCAAAACAGTGTAAGATAGTAAAGTAACTTATAATCTTATTTGATCATTCTGTTCTAAAAACAGATAAATATAATTTAGGCTGCTGTATGACATGATAAATTGATAAGTGAGAAAGTAAAATTATGCTGGGGTCTACATATTAAATAACTGTTTTGGCAGTTTTTCACCTGAATTTAAAAATAAAATCCGTCTGTTCTATCTGTATGGACAGAATATGCCAACCATAGACCAAAAGATACATTTGTGTAGATATAAAGAGACAAACGTCATGGTTGGCATGTTCTTTAACTTAGGGCTTTATTTATACTTGTGAGTTTAATCATTTCTTGGCAATGAGCACTGCTGCCTTTTTAAATCATGAATGCCTGTCTTTAAATGCCAATCTATTAGAAGTTTAGAATTACATTTCAATTTCTCCTATATGAATTTTTCATCTGGGAACTACCCACTGTCATTTTTATGTACAGAAAAGATCCTTTTTTAAAACCATATTTATTAGGATCTTATTTAAATTATCCTTTACAACTTCTTAAAATGAATATGCTAATAGGTAAGACTTCATCCATTACACCTAGGAATTTTTTAACTTGTTACCAATCTAAATAGGTGTAGAGAAATAATACTAGATTTCATACACCACGTAGTTCTAGCCTCCGTCCATATCAATGTAACATTATGTGATAAAATGCCAAAATTTCTTGTATCTAAGCTACCCTCCCACTCTTCTAGCCACCTCCCACCTCAACACCCTTAAGTAACCAATGCTGACTTTTATTCTGGCAAGTGGAAATCAATATTGGATAATCAAGGGGCTTTTGTAAATGCTAAGAAGTGTTTGTGAAAACCTTCCCTTTCTGAGTTAGGATTGTTTTTTCATGTTCATTTCAGAAGTTTTATTGAGCATCTGATTTGTGTCAGTACTATGTAAATATGATGAGAAGTATTTGGAATAGACTTTACGTTCACCGGAAGATTGATAGTGTTTGTCAAACCAATACATCCATTCAAAATTGAGGCAGAATAAACAGCCTAAGAAATTATTTTCTTTCTACAGTCTGCTAGGAGAAAGAGGTGATAGGGGAATGGTTGATGATTTTAATCAAGAGTAAAGGGAGCATTTATTATATGAAATCTGACTTCAGATGTGCAAAGGTATGTTAAGACATTAAGACAATAGCTGGAAGGTTTTAAATATGTGTACACACACATAGAGATACTTTTGTGTGTTTATTTATATGTGTATTTCACAAAGGCTAATGCCCACAGCAGAAAAGGATTGTTTTTTGGGTTTGTTTTTTTTTTTTTTTTTTTTAGACAGAGTTTCGCTCTTGTTACCCAGGCTGGAGTGCAATGGCATGATCTCGGCTCACCGCAATCTCTGCCTCCTGGGTTCAGGCAATTCTCCTGCCTCAGCCTCCTGAGTAGCTGGGATTACAGGCACGCACCACCATGCCCAGCTAATTTTTTGTATTTTTCAGTAGAGATGGGGTTTCACCATGTTGACCAGGATGGTCTTGATCTCTTGACCTCATGATCCACCAGCCTCGGCCTCCCAAAGTGTTGGGATTACAGGCTTGAGCCACCGCGCCCAGCCCGGAAAAAGATTTTTTTAACTACTGGGTTGTTTGTCATCCGCTGGCAGGATCTGATCAGGTTTAATTGAGTATTTAAGCAAAAGTGTCCTGTCTTCTGTCTCCACTAGAAATACTGCAGTTTGAGAGCTGAAAGGAACTTGAAAAATGTTATCCAGTCTTCACTTACCCTATTTTTATTGGCATTAAGAAACAGAGGTCCAGCAATGGTTATTGATTTAGCAGTCTGGTCTTCTACGATCTGCTTTCTAATTATCAATCTAATATTCCTATATTATACTGGAATTTCAATAAATTATAACCTATGTGAATATCATAAATTCTTGGGAATTTTTGTTTATTTCCAGTAGAGAAGCATACTCGGGCAGTGTTTTCACTTAATAACTATGATGATCTTAGAAGATGTCACTTAAGTTAGAAGATAAGCAGACTTCAAAAGTGATCTTAACTAAGACCCCCACTCAGTTTACTAGTCATGCCTCCCTGACAGAACATAAGCTTTTGTAAAATATTTAGGCTGATACATATGCAGTATGCAAACATTCTAGACTGCAATTAGAAGACTAATTTTTAAAAGCACTCGAAACATAGAACTAAGATTTAGAATATATGTCCATTTATAATGAAATAATTTATGTTCTTAATGTGTATATGTAAGAGAAGTAAATAAAGCATTACTTGTTTTATAATTTATCAGGAAGAGAGAAGGAAGCATTAGTTTATAACAATGCTATTTAATATCTGTATTTTGGATATTTAAAATACTCTGATGGTAAGGTTGCCAAAGTAATTTTGAATTCATAAAAATTGTTTATACCACAATAATGTGGGATATGTTTACAGGCTTTTTTATTTTGTGGTAGTTATTTTATAGTTCAGAGGATATTGCATTTCAGTCACTTATAGTAAATACATTATAATAAATTTTTGTTGGAATAAACATCTCAATAATAGGACATAGACAAATGATGTAACAGCCTGCTTTTATGAAAGTTGGTGCATTATGTAAGCTGCCACAGTTAATACTTTATATTAACATTGCTTACTGCCCCATTTGCTTCACCTAACTGACCACAGTTGCTGGAACCATTCTTTTTGTGGTGCTTCCTCCAAGTGAAATAACTATGTTATTAAAACCTACTGGATTAATTTTATCAAATATCAGACTTATACTGACTGTTAGCAGAGATTTACTGGTGTCTCAGTGTGATCACAATACAAGTTGTAACAACCATTTCATAAAATTCTTAGAAAATTATGTGGATACAAGGGAATTTACATAATCCTAAAACATTTTTGAGGGCTAACTGGTAATAGCTAATTTCAGCAATTTATCAAGAACCCAATAAATTAATCCCTCATTTGTGTGTTTTTGGTTCAACGTACCTTACCATGTCTGCAACCATTATCAACACAATATTTTACTATATATGGACTTAATTTATTCTCAATAGCAATTACTACAGTGTGTCTTACAAGGTTATCAGAAACAAACAGCAATCTCTGTTTCTGCCAGAAAGTAGACATTTTATTTTTACGGTCCTGATGAATTTGTTGTGAATAGACACCAAATATTTGTTTGCATATAAATTTGCTGCTATTTGTATGTCTTTCTACTGTAGTATACTGTTGATTTCTGAAGTGTTATAATCATTATAATTTTTATTTGACTAATCCAAGCTAAATGGGCAACCAGAATTAATATCTGCTAGGGTGCAATCCATCAGTATTGGTTCAGTGCATACATAAGTAAACCAGTTTAAAAATTTTTTACAAAACAAAAAGTATTAGCAATATTGCTAAAGACTACCATTTTAGGGGAAAGTTCAAATATTTAACTTCCTCAAACCTTTTAAAATTTTCA